GCCTCTGCCTTGTGCAAGGACAAACACATAGACTGGCACAGCCTTTTCCAGCCTGATGCAAATTCACGTGCTTCTCCTGACTGCTGAGCAGCCCTTGGTTATGCCCTGTGTGGCTGTCAAGGCAGCATCTACTTATAGACACTGCCCGTGTTTCTTAACCAACCAATGTGGTGAAGGTCAAACTCAAGTCTAACAACCAAACCCAAACAGGAGTGACTCGGGACCCTTTGTAGGTCAGAGAGCCATGGGCTGCCTTTCCATTGTGGATGGTTGCTTTCTGGCTCACCCACTGCCCCATTGGCAGCGACAGCAGAGATCTGCAGGTCAGTCTAAATTGCATGAGTCATTAATGGATAGCAGAGTGGCTTTAGACTACATCCTGGACGTCTAAAATAACACCTGCTACTGATCCCCCGGATAGTCATCCATAACTAGCCCTGTCTGGGATCTTGGAAGGCACGACTGAGGCAAATACCGCTGGCTGGCTTCTCCCTGCTGCTTGGAATCCTATTGCTATCAGCCTTAACGAGATGTCGCAGGAGACAAATTGAACAGGTTTGGTCCCAGCCTCTGTTGGTTGGATCAAGCAGGGTGGCCACCGGACTTGCTTACTTACATGAAAATGCAAGTTTGGCCAAGAACTTGCAGGGCCAAGGAGTGGACTGTCCTTGGGAGAGGCAACCTACCATGGACCATGGGCATCCCTGCACGTTCTTGTTGTGGGCAAGCCAAGGATCAAGCCCCTGCCTGCTGTTTGCTCAGGCCAGTCCCAGCACCGGGTAACTGCAGTGGCTGGCGGTCTGCCCTGCTGCCCATCTCACCTGGAGCTACATGCAACCTTGAGGGATGAGGTGATGTCTCTTGGGACAAAGAGCAAGCTTATTTATTGCTTGCTAGAAAAGAGATGGATTCACTGAGCTCAGTGTTCCTAGGTTGAGCGGTGAATGTGTCTGCATGCTTAGTATTGCCTTGGCCTCTCCGCATTATCCCGCAGGGCTTGGGGGTCAAAGGGAACAAATGGAAACATGCTGCTTCTGCTGCTTGCTGGGCCAGAAGTAACAAAGGCCTTTGTCTCTGACCCAGGAGTCTCCTGTTTCCTGCCAACATCTCTGCAACAGTGACAGACTGACTTAGTAGCTTGCAATATGGTAAAAGTCCAATCCCAGGCTCTTACATTTGACCATCATATTGTTACCACATATTGTTCTATTTGAGTTTTTTGTTTGTTTGTTTGTTTTTGAGACAGAGTCTCACTTTGTTGCCTAGGCTAGAGTGAGTGCCGTGGCGTCAGCCTAGCTCACAGCAACCTCAAACTCCTGGGCTCAAGCAATCCTCCTGCCTCAGCCTCCCAAGTGGCTGGGACTACAGGCATGCGCCACCATGCCCGGCTAATTTTTTCTATATATATTAGTTGGCCAATTAATTTCTTTCTATTTATAGTAGAGACGGGGTCTCGCTCTTGCTCAGGCTGGTTTCGAACTCCTGACCTCGAGCAATCCACCTGCCTCAGCCTCCCAGAGAGCTAGGATTACAGGCGTGAGCCACCGCGCCCGGCCTCTATTTGAGTTTTGTGGTTTTTGTTTTATTTTTTTTTGTTTTGAAATAGTCTTGCTCTGTTGACCAGGCTGGAGTGCAGTGGCATCATCATGGCTCACAGCAACCTCAATCTCCTGGGCTCAAGTGATCCTCCTGCCTCCTGAGTAGCTGGGACTACAGGCGCAAGCTGCCATTTCCATTGCTATTTTTTGTAGAGACAGGGTCTTATTATCTTGTTCAGGCTGGTCTCAAACTCCTCAGCTCAGGCAGTCCTCCTGCCTTGGCCTCTCAGAGTGCTAAGATTACTGGCATGAGCCACTGCACTCAGCCGTTGTTTTCTAACCTCTTGAGTCAAATGCTTACTGACTTGTTAAGATTTTTACCTCCTGATTGATGTATTTAAGTTATTATGGTTTCCTCTAATGACTCCTATGCTATCTGTGCCCCCACAATTTGATTCTAGTTCTTTATTATTTAATTATAATTTCTAAATTATTTTATGACTTACATTTTTTTACCCAAGAGTAATTTAGAAAGACGTTTCTTAGTTTCCGAACACATCAAAGTTTTCTTCTGTCGTTTTTTTTCAATGGTGTACATTATGGTCTAAAAAATGGTTCATATCATTTAATCCTTTTGAAATGAGACTTCCTTTAAGGGCTAATAGTCTGTTTTTTTAAATGTTAGAGATGTGCTTGAAAAAATGTGTATTTTCAGTTTGTTGGGTGTAGTTTCATATATGTATATACATAGATAGCCGTTTGCTTATGGAGGCTGTATCTTCCTGTTCTATTGTTGTTTTTACCAATATATAACGCCTTTTTCTCTTAAATTTCATTTTGTCAGGTAAGATTGGTATTCCAGCTTTCTTTTGGTTCCCATTTGCCTGGCGAATCTTCTTCCATCCTTTTATTTTCAAATTTTCTGTGTCTTTTTTAAGTGTATCTTTTGTAGCTGATATTTTTAAAAATCCAATCTAACTCTGACTTTTAATTGGTGAGTTTTATCCATTTATATGTTTATGGTTACTCATATAAGGATTTATTTCTGCCATCTGGTTTCATAGTTCCCATTTACTGTGATTTCAGTTTTTTTCTTTTCCTGATTGTCACTGCAGAGATCAAATTTTTCTTCTGCTGGTTTAAATGTTAAATCACTGTAAAAATTGCCTATTGTCTAAAATGGACTTCACCATTACTTGTCAGGTATCCATAGGCAAATTATCTAACTTCTCCTGCCCGTGCCCTTACCTGTACAATGAGGAGAATAAAGGCACTGGTATCTCATATGACTATTGTGGGAAATAAATGAGTTAATATACGTAAAATTCTTAAGAGTAATTGCAGGAGTGTTTTGAGTAGTAGAAGGAATGGACACTGGTCACACTAGATGGAATGGCTAAGGGCTAGAGATGGTTCATGTTATAGTAGGAGGGAAGGAAATTATACAGATACAGATACATGTCAACAGATTGGAGAGTATGAAAGTTCTTTTCTGTTTCAATTTTCTCAGTAAAAAAAGAAACGAGTTGAAAGTTAGGAAGGATAGAAAATCTGAGTAAAGAGGAAAGGTGTGAAATACTTGCTAGGGAGAGGTTAAGTGTGAATTGAAAAGAATTTGCATTGTTGTATTTTTCTCCAGCCATGTTCTTACATACAGATATAGACACAGATGCAGATCACTTGAATTACTAGATATAAACAGATTTGAGTTTTCAGCTTAGAGGGATGAGAATTTAGGGCATGTGTAAAAGATGCTAAAGAAGAAAGTGAGGGTGATGAAATTATAGATGAGGGATAGGTGATTGTCTACTGATCCTAGAGGCGTTAAAAGAATTGTTGGTGGAGATATAATAAAGTAACCTAGAAAAAAGGGTGAGTGTGATGCTAGAAATTGAGATTTTTGGAGGCAATGACAAAATCTAGTGCAGTATTCTTCAAAAGCCTGGGTTGATTCCTATTACTGGGTCAGGAAATGTGCTCACCAGCAAATTGGTATTAACGGATCAACACCTACATGGACACATAGGAACAACATTTACCGGGTGTCAGGCAAGTGGGAGGGGGGAGGAGGGGATGGGTACATACAAACATAATAAGTGCGATGTGCAACATCTGGGGGATGGTCACACTTGAAGCTCCGACTCAAGGGGGGAGAGGGGCATGGGCAATGTACGTAACCTTAACATTTGTACCCCCATAATATGCTGAAATTAAAAAATGGAATAAATAAATAAAAAGATGTTAAATGGAAAAACAAAAAACAAAAAACCCTGGGTTGCTTCCCATTAGTGGGTCAGGAAATCAATTTGGTGGGTCACTTTCTTAAGTTAGCATTGTTAACTCTGGCTGCACGTTAGAATTATCTAGAGAGCCTTTAAAAAAAATCCTGTCATTCTCGGCAACATGGATGGAACTGGAGGACATTATGTTAAGTGAAATAAGCCAGGAACAGAAAGTTAAACACCGCATGTTCTCACTCATATGTGGAAGCTAAAAAAAGTTGATCTCACAGAAGTGAAAAGTAGAACAAGATACTAGGGGCTGGGAAGGGTAGGGGGAAGGGGAAATAGGGAGAGATTTGTTAAGGGATATAAAATTACAGTTAGATAGGAGGAATAAGTTGTAATGTTCTATACCACAGTAGGATGACTATAGTTAACAATAATACATAGTTTCAAATAGGCAGGAGGAGGGTATTAAATGTTCCCAACACAAAAGAAATGATGTTTGAGATGATGACCATGCTAATTACACTGCTCTAATCACTATACGTTCTATGTATTGAAACATCATTATATGTACAAATTATTATGTCAATTAAAAAAATAAGACCACACTCCATTTGCAGAAATTCTGATTTATTTGGTCTAGTTCATTTATTCTAGTTCAATTATTCTATTCATTTATTTGGTCTATAGGGGTTCAGACATCAGTTTTTTATTCAAATTCTCCAGGTAAGTACAATGTACAGGTATGGTCAATAACCATTGGCCCAAGATACTGACATAAAAAGACTGATGCTAGAACTAATGGTAGAAAGACAGTAAGCCACCTGCTAACATCTAATAATTGGGAAGCAGAGTATGAGATATGACGTGTGATAAATTGCAATAAGGTAGGGAGCAGGTGGCACAGTCTAATGGCAATTAATGTGCTTAACAAAGAGTATTTGCAAGTGAGAAGTGCATATGTATCCACCCACAACACACACACACACACACACACACACACGTGTTTAACCATTTTGTGGATGGATAACAAACAGAAACTCTGATTTCATTTCTTATATTTTGAACTAACTGGAAATAAACAAAAGCCAGTAAAAAAAAAGTACCTGGCACCTAATTTCAGGGACTTCCCTATATCCCACCATGATAAAGTTTGATTTGAGTAAATTTTATCTAATTTTAGAATTAAGAAGATTGCTAACACAAATTATAAGAAACTATTTTAAGAAAGAAAATAAATTGACTGTAAAGTTTATTGGCAAATCTACGTCAAGCTCCATAATTTAAGATTATTTAAAACAAAGTTAAAAACATTTATAAAAGGTCAGAACATTTCAGTACTTTCAAACTAATTTTTAAAAAATTATATCATAGTTATGAAAATAACAATTATGGCAAGCTATACATTCTTAAATTATAGAAAACATTAAAAATAAAATATCTAACAACATATGCCTTGCTCTTGCTTTAGGGGAAAAGGTGGGGACAAATATTTTTTATTTCATTTACATATATTTATTAAAAGCTTTTTCCATATGGCATTGCAAATAGTCCTAGTTCTCTTGTACTTTGCTAAATACATGAATTCACACAAGGGAAATGGGATACACAAAATTACAGAGATGGTGGAAAAGTAAACCAGCCCATACCCAAATACACACTGAATTATTGCAAAGGGCATAACCCAAACACAAAAGCCATATTAGTTTTAGAAAAAGAGCACTGCCCTCCCCAGGTACACATATACACTCCAGTTTATTAAACCACAAGAGGAAATAAAATTTATCATAAGTAGTTGGTATCTCACTTTCCTATGTTAGTTTTTAAGTCTTTTTAAATCATAATAAAATCTATTAAGAACAGGATTTTCTTCAAATGTGCATAGTTCAAACACGATTAATTTCTATATCTGACATTCTATTTTGTGCTTCTATTCTTTTATTAATATATGTACACACTAAATTTTTAAAAATGACAACTTTGAAAATTAATGGTAAAAAGCTGTTTTCAATTTATACGCCATAGTGCAGTGTTTACATACTATTCTGGAAGACTGGTAAATTACAACATACAGGTTTAGAAGCAAAAAATTGAAATTGAATGTATATTGGAATTTTAACAAAATGTTTTACTATATTTACCATCATATGCTTTCATACTCTAACATTTTAAATTAATACACTGAGGAATTTTATTTACTTAAAAAATGTCCCAAATTTTGTTCTATCGTTTTACAAGACCCTGAAGATAGGTTTTAGTTTGATTTTGACAGAATCTGTGTAACATGAAGAGTCCATGTGATACCAAAATAAAACTGTATATATAATACATAAATGTATATTTCCCATCATAGTTCTTCTAGTTGGCAATAACAAATTATGTACGGTAATCATTATTTTAGCAAGACCACTGAGATTATAATAATAAGACTAGATCTAAATATATTCCCCTTGATAGACAGTAAATCTGTGAATAATTTTAAGGGAAAAAGCTAAGCATGACAACATAGCATCAAGGTTAATAATTCTTTGTGAATACATTAAGATATGGGTTATAAACACAGGCATGAAAACTAAGTATTTACATATATATATCATGGCTCATTAAGAAACAGATTATTAAAATGTAATGTGAACAATACATTATATTAATTCACAGTATAAACATACTTTGAGAAGTAATTTAAGTCAGGAATAAAAATAAAGAGATAACATCAGTAAAGCACTATTAATACATATTTTGTTCTGTCATACATATGAAAATATACACATAGGTACAGTTCTTTTAAACCAAACCTTTTAACATAAATATTCACTGATTTAAATAAGAGTTGACTGAGGTAGAATTTGTGTCAATGTTCATGATTTTCAGGAACAAATACTTCAAATATTTCATTAATGTTCTGTTCTTTTAAAAATCTATACAGGAACTCATTGAAAACTATTATTCTGAAAATAGAGGGGGGAAGGGAAAGATGGGTTAAGACATAAATGATAAAAGTTATTCAATATATTCATAAAAACTGAAATTCAATGTTTTAAATGAAATTACAGTCTCTAATAAAGAGACTCTAATTACAGTCTCTAATAAAACTCCATGCCCCAAATCTAGTTATATTTAGGAAGTACCATTCTTCTTAAAGTTCAGAAATACTGTTCTATATATTTTTAAGTGATTTTGGTTTCCTTATTTAACTTCTGTATTTTATGTCTTCTCAGTAAGCATGTGTCATATCATGATATAATAAGAAATACAGTCATATGCTACATAATGATGTTTTGGTAAATGAAAAACCACAAATATGACAGTGGTCCCATGAGATTATATGAAGCTGAAAAATTCCTATCATCTAGTATTGACCATATGATACATTTTATCATTATTTTAGTATAACACCTCCTACACACACACACACACACACACACACACACACACACACACACATATTTATATAAAATTAACTATGAAACAGCCTCAGGCAGGTCCCTCAGGCAGTATTCCAGAAGAAGGCAGCGTGACCGCAGCAGATGACAGCTCTGTGTGTGTTGTGGCCTCTGAAGACCTTCCAGTGGGGTAAGACGTGGAGGTGGAAGACAGCGGTGTTGTTGATCTCTTGACCCTGTGTAGGCCTCGGCTAATGCGTGTGTTTGAGTTTTTAACAAAACGTTTAGAAAGCTAAAAAAAAATAATAATTTTAAAAATAAAATAAAGCTTATAGGAGGATATAAAGAAAAACCTTTATTATTTTTTTTGAAAAAACCATTTCTGTACAGCTGTACAATATGTTTATGTTTTAAGCTGTCACTACAAAAGTCAAAAGTTAAAAAATTAAAATTTATGAAGTAAAAAAGTTACAGTAAGCTAAAGTTAACTTATTTTGAAAAAATTTAAAAAATAAATTTAGTATAGCCTAAGTGTAGAATGTTTATAAAGTCTACGGCAGTGTACAGTAATTTCCTAGGCCTTCACGTTCACTTGACACTCACTCACTCACTCACTCATTCAGAGCAATTTCCAGTCCTGCAAGCTCCACTCATGGTAAATATCCTATACAGGTGTACCATTTTTTATCTTTTATACTGTATTTCTTCTGTGCTTTTTCCATGTCTAGATATGCTTAGATGCCCAAATACCACTACGTTACAACTGCCTACGGTACTCAGCACAGCACCTGCTGTACAGGTTTGTAGCCTGGGAGCAATAGGCTATACAAAATAGCCTAGGCGTACAGTAGGCTGTACCATCTAGGTCTGTGTAAGTCCCCTCAATGACGTTCACATGAAGAAATTGCCTAACAATGTATTTCTCAGATGTAGCCCCATCGCTGAGTGATGCATGGTTGTATATGTTTGGCCTCTGCTCCTGGTTCCTGGTACACAGTTCCTGAGAATCTCCAGAGTGTCTCCAGACAAGAGTGTCTTTTGTACGCCAACGATATGACTAGTGGCTGGGGGCCCCTAATTTGCTTCAGAATGGGGTCTGCTCACTAGACAGACCACGGCATAATCATGGAGGATTGGGACTTTGGTCCCACACCATAAGGGACCAAAGGGAGAGGAGAAAGTGGAAACAACCTAGGTGTTCTCGAATAATGAAAGGGATTAAAAAAATGTGGGCTGGGCACAGTGGCTCACGCCTATAATCCTAGCACTCTGGGAGGCCGAGGCGGGAGAATCACACAAGGTCAGGAGTTTGAAACCAGCCTGAGCAAGAGTGAGACCCTGTCTCTACTAAAAATAGAAAGAAATTAATTGGACAACTAATATATATATAGAAAGAATTATCCGGGCATGGTGGTGCATGCCTGTAGTCCCAGCTACTCGGGAGGCTGAGGCTCCAGGAGGATCGCTTGAGCCCAGGAGTTGGAGGTTGCTGTGAGCTAGGCTGACGCCATGGCACTCTAGCCCGGGCAACAGAGTGAGACTCTGTCTCAAAAAAAAAAAAAAATGTGGTGCATCCTACTACATGGATGAACCTAAAACATTATTCTAAGAGAAATAAACCAGACACAAAAGGACAAATGTTGTATGATTTTACTTATATGAAAATCTAGAATAGGCAAATTCAGAGAGACAGAAAAGCAGATTGGAAGTTACCAGGGGCTGGGAAGGTCAGGTTGAGGGAGTGAAGACTTACTGTTTAATGAGTATGGAGTTTCTGTTTGGGAGATGAAAAGGTTTTAGAAATAGTGGTAATGGTCACACAACACTATGAATGTAATTAATGCTACTGAATTGTAAATTTAAAAAGTAGTTAAGATGGCAAAGCTCATGTTATATGTATTTTACTGTAATCAAAAGTTTCCTGGCCGGGTGCGGTGGCTCACGCCTATAATCCTAGCATTCTGGGAGACTGAGGTGGGTGGATTGCTTAAGGTCAGGAGTTCGAAACCAGCCTGAGCAAGAGTGAGACCCCGTTGCTACTAAAAATAGAAAGAAATTAATTGGACAACTAAAAATATATAGGAAAAATTAGCCAGGCCTGGTGGCGCATGCCTGTAGCCCCAGCTACTCGGAAGGCCGAGGCAGCCTCCTGCCTCGGAGTTTGAGGTTGCTGTGAGCTAGGCTGACGCCATGGTACTCTAGCCCAGGCAGAGTGAGACTCTGTCTCAAAAAAAAAAAAAAAAAAAAACCAAGAAAAAAACACAAAGTCTCCTAAGTCATCATAGCTTTAGAGATTGCTGGAATCCACTACGTTCTGTATCAGTGGTTCCTAAAGTATAGTGTGGGGGTCCCTGGGAGTCCCTATATCCCTCTAAGAAACCTGCAAGGTCAAGCCTATTTTCATAAAACCAAGCAATTACTTGTCTTTCACTCTCATTTTCTCATGGGAGTACAGTTGGGTTTTCCAGAGGCTACATGATGCGCAAAGACAGGAAGTAAATATTTTAGATTTTCAGGCCCAGGGTCTGTCACAACTACTCAGCTCTGCCACTGCAAAGTAGTCTTACAATTTGTTAACAAATGGTGTGAATAAAGCTTAATTTACACAAATAGGCAGTGGGGTGGATTTGGCCCACAGACCCTGCTTTGCCACCCCCTGGTCTAAACTGCGGCAGGGAATCAAGCCTGAGAACAGGTCTGTGTCACACTGTCATGAGGCTTTGTGACAGGAAGGGGAGGTACCACCTGATCGCATTCAAACTAACACAGCAACTTAGAATTTGTGAGGACACAGTGACAGCAGCAAGCACTAAGAAGTGGTCCTCAAAATGAAAGAACAGAATGTTTCAATCAAACAAAGCACAAAAGCAAAAGCACAGCAATCAGGAAGACTTAAACCTAGGCCCCACAAACATGGGGGCATCCATCCGTATGTTAAAGAATAGCATATAACTAATGTTCATAATGAGAATTCTGAGTCATCGAGGAAATGTTTAATTTATCTTTCATATACTTCTCTTACAAGTGGCAAAGAAATGCATCACTTTAAAAAAGATGGATGCAACTATTTCTGTCACTGAGTTACTCGTTTTTCACAGTCGCTATCTGTCAGACCCTGGGTCTGACTCATGCTTCTTTCCTATTCATGCCTGTTCCCAGTGAACCAGCACATCCCTCTGACCCTTCCTCAGCTGAATGTGTCCTCTTCACAGCTACTTTGGAAAACATTTGCTGTATCTACTAGAGCTTGAACATATGCTTATCCAGTGACCCAGCAGTTTCATTTCTAAGTGTATAGCCACAGCCTAATGTTTCAACAGCCCAAACTGTGAACTACCAAATGCCTACCAATAGCAGAATCAGCACCACAGTGGACTGTGGTAAGTTCACATAATGGCACTCCATTAGCCAGCAATGACTGAACAATCTACAAGTATATACAACAGGATGTACGAATCTCACAAATGTACTGTTGAGAAAAACAAGACAGAAACGTATTTTTTCATTTATAAAATGTCCAAAAGCAAGCAAAAAGAATCTATGCTTTTAACAGGACAGTTACTTTTCTTTTTTTTTTTTCCTTTTCTTTTTTATGAACCAATGAAGCTGTAAGGACAGTTACTTTTATACCAGGAGTTATAACTAGAAGGGAGAGACAATGTTTTGTTTGTTTGTTTCTTTCTTGAGATGGGGATCTTGCTAAGTTGCCCAGGCTGGATTTGAAATCCTGGGCTCAAGTGATCCTCCGCCTCAGCCTCTCAAGTAGCCGGACTACAGGTTCACACTACCATGCCTGACTTGTTTTGTTTCTTGATCTGCATGCAGGTTCCGTAAGTGTGTCCAATTTGAAAATTCACTGAGCTATATAACTACGATATGGCACTTTTATGTATGTACATCATGCTTTACTATTAAAAATCTGTCCTAGGCTTTCAATTTTATTTTATCGATCCAAAACTGATTATACCCCTTACCCTAGTCTCTCTCTACGTCTCTATCCTTTCCAATATGGCTCAAACACACTTGTGAAGTTAATCTACCAAACGGTTCTTTCATCTTAACCCCTCCCTGTACCTATTCTATACATAGGAGGACTGACCTTCAATTGCTCCCCTTAACTCACAGAATAAAGTTTATAATCTCTAGTGTAATCTCACCCTCTATATACTCTGCATATCACATTCTACCTTCCAAACCTTTCTCCCTCATTGTTGCCCCGCAACCTACCACTTCCCCAGATTTCGTCTACTGTGCCCTGTGCAGTCCCCCTTCGAGGCCTCTGTCCACTCTCACCGCCTGCTATTTGTCCCTTTAATTTGGCACTTCATCAAATGCTTACCCTGGGACAGCTCATATTGTCATTTAATGTTTTGCTGTGGCTGTCTTCTCTTTTTAAATTCAGGTACAATTTACATATAATAAAGTGCATGGGCCATAAATGATCAGTTTCATGAGTTTCTGTAATTGTATATACCCACGTAACCAAGACACAGAATGTTTCTATTATTCCAAAAAGTTCCCCTGAGCACCTTTCCAGGCAACCTCCCTTCCCCTGGCAGAGATAACAAATTCTCTGAATTTTTACAACCACAGATTAGTGTTGGCTGCCCTTGATGATACGTACATACCTCTGTGATCACTACGCATTTAGATGATCCGGAGAAGGTGAAGGAGACCTCAGAGTGGAACTAAAGGGCGGCGTGGGAAGACCCTGGCGGCGCATCTCTTGGATTGCTCGTTCCCTGTCGACAGAGAGCAAACGGGAGAGATTACACGCGAGCACCTGAAAACCCAAAGTGACATAGGGTGCTATAGTTAACTAAGTAATTTCTATTAAATTAATTAATTAGTATTTCCACTAAATTTAAATCTTATGTCTTTAAATGATTTTTAAGTAATGAATAAAAGATCTTCAAAGAATATGCATTATAACAGTTTTCAAAATCAATTATGGCATAATCATATCTGAATAGCAGGTTGTCATTAAAATAATATTTTGGAAGCAAAATGCTCAAAATATATTTCATGAAAAAAGTAGGATACCACGTGTACACAAAGACACACATAAAAACACACATGACGAGATGTTAAGCCCCCAAATGCTACTAGTGACTATGGAAGGTAGAACTTACAGATAATTTTAATTTTCTTCTTTATACTTTAAAAGTAAAAAATTATAACAAACCTGCTTAACATGTTCTTAAACATTAAAAGTGTGTATGTCAGGAGGCAAATTCCTTACCTCCCCTGACCTTCTGCAGGATTTGGTGCCCTAAACCACTCCTGGCTGTCACGACACTACCATCTCTGGTTCTCTTTTCTGCCGACACGACCGTTTCTTAGTTCTTTTACTGGATCATTTGCTTCTTCCTAGATTGCCAGGGCTAGGTTTACATTCTCTTATCCTATGCTTTATACGTCAACAACGCTCCCAAATCTACATCTTCAGTTCTGTTTTATGGTCCAGACCCACCTAAAAGTTTCTATTGGACATCCCACAGGTGCCCGACATACCCTAAACTGACCTTTCCCTACTGATTCCAGGCTTGGGGAGGTCCCATCCTCTAGTGTGCCCATAAGATCCTACACCCATCTCTATCTCTGTAGCTACAATCCTGTTTTTATTTATTTTTTTGTTAAAATTTTTTTAACTTTTTTTTTTCCAGCTAAACATTTAGTAATATGAATGACTACATCTTGTTTTTAAACGGCTGTATAAGGCCACGCGTGGTGCCTCATGTCTGTGATCCTAGCACTCTGGGAGGCCGAGGCGGGGGAGGATTGCTTGAGCTCACGAGTTCGAGACCAGCCTGAGCAAGAGCGAGACCCCGTCTCTACTATAAACAGAAGTTAGCCACAACAACTAAAAATAGAAAAAAATTAGCGGGGCATGGTGGCACATGCCGGTAGTCCCAGCTACTCGGGAGGCTGAGGCAGGAGGATCGCTTGAGCCCAGGAGTTTGAGGTTGCTATGAGCTGGGCATGATGCCATGGCACTCTAGCCCTGGCAACACAGTGAGACTCTGTCATTCATTCATTCATTCATTCATTCATTCATTCATTCATTCATAAACAAACAAATAAATAAATGTATATGTGTCTGTCTCCCTCATTATACTGGGTCCTCTGAGAGTCAGTTATTCATTTGTGCACCTTCTTCAACTGGTACTCTTAGCAGGTGGCATAGTGCCTGACCTATACTGAAAATGATATCAGAACGATTGTGCCTCTGCACATACCATAATAACAGACTCTTTTTATCTTTATACCTTGTCAAATATAGAAAGACTGGAAAAGTAAAATGTATTCAGTTTACTCTTTGGTGTCCTAGCCTATTGGGCCACCCTTACATGGCAACCTTCCTCCTGCTTTTAGTTTCAATCAAGCTGGTTGGTTTCCTTCTCTGTCCCTTCCTTTCCCATCTCTTCTTACACATACATCCAGCCCTCTCCCTTTTTCCCATCTCAAAACTCCCAAATGTCAGCAGTGAAAGAATCCATTTTCTTTATCATGTTCTCCTTCTCGGTGTCTGTGTCTGTCCCCACCGAGCATGGTGATTAAGTTGCCATCTCCCCTGCAGGCTATTCTAGTCTCTGGTTTGAACTCTTTCTGCTTTGAGTTCTTCAATCAGTATTCAGGATTTCTACCTAGTTCAGTGTTTGTCAAACTTTTTTCACTATTACTCTCCCAAAGGAACTTAGTAGACTTTCCCTCCATTCCATGAAATTTCAATATACAGATACACTGTTGATGTATCGTGGCCCTTTTGAGAGTCATACGCCATTGTAATATCTTGTACTACCTAAGTTTTTTTGCCACCTCCTCCCTCTGCCTCTAAGAACTAATTTTTTCCCCTGGGCGGTGGTGATATTGCTCCGATGAGAACGCATAACTTAGTTGGATGTTAAGGAGGAGAAAAAACATGGTTATGTACTCAAAGGTTCTTTGAGGGCCGGGGGCAAGGAAAATGGGAAGAGATTAAGGAGGGGGGGTTTATAACCCTGGTCTATAGAGAGCTTAATTTAGGTTTGCAGGGAATTTAAGTTATCATTAAGAAATTGAAATCATTATATATGTTCAGTTTAGCACATTCAGAAACCAGATCTTCTAAATCAGTGGTCCCCAACTTTTTTGGCACCAGGGACCAGTTTCATGGAAGACAATTTTTCCACGAGTTCCTGGGGAGGTGAGGGGGTGGGGCGGAGAAGGCAGAGCTCAGGTGGTGATGGGAGCAATGGGAGGGAAGTGGCTGGCAATACACATGAAGCTTTGCTAGCTCGCCCACCGCTCACCTCCTGCTGTGCGGCCCCTCTCCACCTCCCTCAGTTTCATGGAAGATAATTTTTCCACGGATGGGATGGATGGGGGTTGGAGGGTGCAATAGAGCTGCGTGGCCCAGTCCCTAACAGGCTGCGGCCTGGTCCCTAACCGAGGGCTGTAAACTGCAGATCTGAATTATAAGAAATTAACAATACTGCTTTCATCATGTCATTTCTGCAACCTAAGGCTTCATTTTCCTTGGAAACAAAAAATAATTGATTTCATAGCAAATTCCCTCCATACTTCAAATAGGACATCACTCAAAAGTTGTGATGTAAGCTGGGCACAGGAGGCTGACACAGGAGGATGGGGAGGATAGCTTGAGTCCAGGAGTTGGGGGCTGTAGTGTGCCATGATGGCAGCTGTGAATAACCACTGCACTCCAGCCTGGGCAACACAGGGAGTCTCTTTAAAAAAAAAAAAGGTGGGAGGACTGCTTGAGGCCAGGAGTTCAAGATCAGCCTGGACAGTAGCAAGACCCTGTCACTACAAAAAAACAAAAACAAAAAAAGCCAGGGTTAGTGGCCCATGCTTGTAGTTCTAGCTACCAGGAGACTGAGACAGGAGGGTTGCTTGAACGCAGGAGTTTGAGTTGAGCACAGGAGTATGATGATGCCATTGTACTCTAACCATGGTAAGGGAATGTCTCAAAAAAAAAAAAAAGCTGGGTGTGAAAGTGCATGCCTGTGGTCCCAGCAACTGAGGAGACTAAGGGAGAAGATTGTTTGAGCCCAGGAAATTTGAAGACAGCCTGGGCAGTATAGCAAAACTCATCTCAAAAAAAAAAAAAAAAAAAGTTTTGATGTAAACAGGTAAGAATAAGAGAACTCAAAAACTGACCTAATAAGCAATTTGACACTATTTACTATTTGGGAATGAAATCACAAGAATATTGATATCTATGGTATTAATATAGTGATAGAAGAAAAGTAATTTGGCAACTGATTTGAAAATTAGACTTCAAAAATTTGCTATCTGTAAGCCATATTAAATCCTTTTTGGAATAGAATAGGGAATACATAAACACACTGTCCAATGCTATAACATTTTTTCTTACCGTTCATATCTTTCAGCTGAAATCTGTCGTTTCAAAGCATCAAAATCTGCTTGTAACTGTACCACTTTAGCTCGAAGCATGGTATTTTCCCGGCTTTGAGTAGTTCTTAAAACAAATTTAAAATCAAAGAAATAAATAAAAAATGTCTGTTTTGTCAAGTGCTATGGATTTTTATTAATAGAAATGGAGGTGATGATTAAGGATAGCCAAAGAGAAGATCAGGATCTTACAACAAACAATTCTCTAAACTTCTGGAGCTTCTATCACAAGATTTTATTTCCATCATCTGGTTTATTCAGCAAACATTTACTGAGCTTCTATTCTAGTATGTGCTAGGCACTCCAGCAGCGCTGGGACTGCACGTTTGTGCGAGACGCTAACTAGAAAGTATTTTCACTGGCTTTCTTGACTCTTGTCTCAGAAAGAGAAATATTTTTAACTCCTTTTATTATAAAAGTGCATTTTTCCACTTGTACTATCTACTACTCTGGGTTTTCTCCTCTTCTAACAAATATCTCCAAACCTCTCCAATCTAAAAAAGATAACATCCAGTATCCGCCATCAATCAATAAACTTATGAGGGTCAAATCTCACAGTTTTTTCTAAGTCTTGCTCCTAATCTACAGATTGAGACATAGCTGCCTTTTCTCATCCTGAAACGTTCTATTCTTCACTGACTCCTCTGTTCTTCCCTCAAATTTAGGCACGTTCCTAAAGTTTACTCTGCTCGCTCACTCCCATGATGAAGATATACAGATCTATGTCTCCAAACATGATGTCTCTCCTGAGCCATTCTCCTGAATTCCCCAAAGCAGCGGATATATTAAGTCTAATATTTTGGTTCTGTACCAACCCTTCACACCCGCACAACTTTCTCCCTCCTCAAAAAAACCTGAAAACTTATTTTTGACAAGCTATTTTCATCACATAGGTTGATTTATGACACTTACAGTTTGCTTTCTGAAAGGCTTAACTTCTCTTTAAGTAGCTGAATTTCTGTATCCTTCTCATGGGAGGTTAAATGACAATGAAATTCTTTGTCTCTATTTGTAGCCAACAATGATTCGAGGTTTTTAACTGTATGTCTCTCATTTGCCAGTTGTTTTTTTAACAGGTCTGATTCCGATTTTACATTTTCTAATTCCACTGCAACCTACAGAAAAAACAAAGTAAGATTACTTCGGTATAATTTTAGACTTACTCTGAAGAATTATTTATCTTACAATATATCTCTGCAGAACTATTTACCCATCAATTGTTTCAATTTGAGTACTGGGTAAAGATTTTGAAGCATTTAACTATCGGAAAAACACTATTTTCAAGACAATCTTTGTTATTTTTAATAACAGCTTACTTGCCTATAAGACCTACTCCAACCCTCAAATAGTTTTCAGTCATGCTATCTTGTCAAGAGAGAATCATTAACACAAAATCCTTAAATGTAGCCATCTTATTCGGCCATGAGGCCCTGTGGTCTATTAGATATCTTTAGTCTGACTACACAGACAAGCCAGTATTGTAGTTTCTCAGTACCTGAAAATAAAGATACTACTAGATAAGTGAAAACTACAAACACTCATGTTTGAAAACATATATTAGCTTGTTTAAAGTCATGCCTCTGTCTGGGAATGAAAGAGTCTAGCCACTTGTTAAAGATTTAAACAACTTGAGATTTTTATTAGGAAACATATTCCACTTAGAAAGCATTCAGGTCTTACTTTTAAACAGAGAACTAATATATTGGGATATACTCCTTCTATAATTAGAAGATTCATAATCTCCTAAATAGTCATCTATTCCAAAACAGAGAGCACCTAATTTTATCACCATGATTGCCAGAGAAATCTTCACAAAGAATCTAGTAGTCAAATCTAGTTGTCAAAATCCTATAGTCAAAGGTAACTACTCCAAAATGGAAGAAATTTATGGGGTAGTGAATGGCAAGGAAAACAATCAGAGCAGGGTTCAATAAAATAACGTGCCAAGTCAATTTCTCTTTAGTTCTTACCCTCTCAAACTCAAGGTGTTTGGAATTCAATTGTTGGGTCATAATATCTTTGCCTGAATCAAGCTTAATGCAGAGTTCTCTAAGAGATGACAGATCATTCAAAACTGATGCTTTCTCATCTTCTAGATGTCTCAGCTCTTCTTCTAATCTAGACATGGCTTTTGCCATTGATGAGATCTGAGATTCATAAGCATGATGGGCATTTATGTGCTGAAAAAAAGGAAAAGCAACAGGTAAAAAGTTAAAGTAACCCAATAATTTTAAGGGTTTGAATCTATGCAGCCACAAACTCACTTTAGAAAAGTTTGAGAGCCAATTTTTGCATATTTTAAAATACTCCCTGGAGAGATTGCCTGCTATTTAAAGATGACCTAGTTAATACTTAACAAAGGAATTGTGTATAATTACTAATCATGGACAGGCATAGAATAGACAGTCCCATTCTGAAAGAAAGAAAATAGAAGGAATAGAAGGGTGACAGTCCAAAGTAAGTTCATAAGCAAGCAGGCCAAATTACATTAGATTTTCAAGGCCTAAGAATAATTATCTGTGACTCAATGCTCTGTCCACTGGGCCTACCAGGGTGGCTCCACTCTCTCAACATTCAGCTATAGCCCCGCCCTCAGGGCTGGTAAGGCAGCAGCCCTATCTCCTGGGCCTGGGCCCCCTGGCCTTGTGGTGGCAGCACCTGTGCCATCGGCATCTGGGTCGCCCCTGGCAGCCCTGCTGGTCTCTGAGCCACCCTTAAGAGTCATTCTTTCCCTTCTTGAAGATGAACGTGTTTGCAGCCAAGCAGTCACACTGGCCTGTTTTCTGCTAGTAGGATCCCTGAAGTCCAACAGCCTTCCTTCATATTATCCCACTGGTGTCCCTCTCAGTTACAGCTGGCAGTGGTTCTGCTGAGATGACTGACGGGACTCACGAGTCACAGAATCTCTTCCCCGGGAGGTTGTCTAGCCACACTCTTGGCCCTGTCCCCAGAGCACACGAGGTTGAGAATTTTCCAAAAGCACCGAGTCCTGGTTCCTTTATCAATTTCTCTCTGTCCTCTCACACTTTACTGTGAGCAAGAAACAGAAGCCAGGCTATCTCTTCTATACTTTGCTTGGAAATCTCCTCAGCTGAATGTCCAAGTTTATCACTTACAAGTTCTTTTCTCTCAAGAGTAGACCAGAAGCAAGTAGACAGTAGATTTATAGCCAAGTTCTCTACCTCTTCATAACAAGTATCATCTTTTCTCCAGTGTCCAATAACATGTTCCACAATTCCATCTGACACCTCACTGGAAGAAACATTCTTATTTCTGGTAAAGCTCCATTCATGAAGTCCATAAATGATATAAGCTTTTCTGTAACTCTCCTCTCTTCTTTCTGAGTCCTCATGATTGTCCTTAATGTCCATATTTCTTTCTTTTTTTTTTTTTTGAGACAGAGTCTCACTTTGTTGCCCAGGCGGCTAGAGTGAGTGCCATAGCATCAGCTTAGCTCACAGCAACCTCCAATTCCTGGGCTCAAGCAATCCTCCTGCCTCAGCCTCCCGAGTAGCTGGGGCTACAGGCATGCGCCACCATGCCCAGTTAATTTTTTCTATATATATTAGTTGGCCACTTAATTAGTTTCTATCTATAGTAAAGACAGCGTCTCACTCTTGCTCAGGCTGGTTTTGAACTCCTGACCTCGAGCAATCCACCCGCCACGGCCTCCCAGAGTGCTAGGATTACAGGTGTGAGCCACCACGCCCAGCCTAATGTCCATATTTCTACCAAATCTCCCTTCAAGGTAACCTAGGCTTTTTCAATCAAGCACCTTAAAACTCTTCCAGTCTCTACCCATCACCCAATTCCAAAGCCACTTTCATATTTTTAGATGTTTGTTACAGGAGCGAGCCACTTTCTAGTACCAAAATCTATTAGTTTCCTAGGGCTACTGTAACACATTATCACAAATTGGGTGGCTTCAAATAGCAAGTTTATTCCTTGATAGTTCTGAACGCTAGAAGTTCAAAATTCAGGTGTCGGCAAGTTTGGTTCCTTCTGGAGATTCTGAAGAGAATTCGTCCCCTGCCTCTCTCTTCGTTTCTGATGATTACTGGCAATCCGTGGTGATCCTGGACTTAGACACATCACTCCAATCTTAAATGGTGTTCTCCTCTGTGTCTTGTGTACAAATCTCTCTCATCTTGTAAGGATGTCAGTCACTGGCTTACAGGGGTGGGGAACCTACGGCTATAAGGCAAAAATGTGGCTGCCTAGGTCCTTAAGTGAGGCCTTTCGACTGAATCCAAATTTTACAGGACAGATCATTTTATTAAAAGGGTACAGCAGAGAAAGATGAAGCCTTTCTTTCCTTCTTTAGTGCTTTTAAAAAAAAAAGAACAATCTTGAAATCATAAAGCCACAGATTCTTCACCCCGGGAGGGAGGGTCTACCCTAATCTAGTATGACCTCGTTTTAACTTGATTCTACCTGCAAAGACACTATTTCCAAATAAGATACATACGGAGGGTTAGTTACCTAAATATGTCTTCTTGGATACATATCCAAAAGCATTGAAAGCAATGACTTGCAGAGGTGTTTGTATCCCCGTGTTCACAGCAGCATTATTCTCAATAGCCAAAAGGCAGAAACAAACCAAATGTCCACTGACAGAAGTATGGATAAACAAAATGTGGTACATACACACAGTGGATTGTTATTCAGCCTTAAAAAGAATGGAATTCTGACTCACACTACAACACGGATGAGCCCTGAGGTAAAGTGAACGTTAGGCTAAGTGAAATAAGCCAGTCACAAAAGGGCAAATATTTTATGATTCTACTTGTGTGAGATGCCTAACGTGGTCAACTTCGTGGAGACAGAGAGCACGGCAGTCGCCAGGAGATGGGGCAGGGGAGAACAGAGCCAGTGTTAACAGGTGTGGGGTTCCGATGGGGAGGACCACAAGCACTGGGGACAGATGCTGCTGAGAGCTGCACATTATGAATGCACTGAAAGCTACAGACCTGGATACTTAACAATGGTAAATGTGATGTCATGTATGTTTTACTACAATAGGAAAACGTAATGGGGCTCCTAAGCAAATTATCAAAATCTCAAAAAATTACCACTGAGTTTGATTTTATCAAAGCGTACAATCTCAAGTTAATAAAGTATCTATGAATGTCTTCTGTTTCACTAAATAATGTCTTTACAGTACAAATTGATGCATTACCTCTTGAATTTCTTTTTCTAATAACTCCACTCTTTCTCGCAGGTGTCTCCTCTCTGTGTCGATAGAAAGAAGTTCCAGCCGAACAGAGCTGCTTTCTCCCTCAGCCTGCTGGGCTTTCACCTCCCAGTCTTCAGCCCGGTGATGGAGCATCTGAAATCTATCCAACAAATCTTGATTTTCTTTTTCCTGGTTTTTAAGCATAATCAAATTGTTTCTAAATTAGTAATTGTCACTCACTGGAACACTCATGCCATAAACACACACACATTAGGAATTTTGTTCTAATTTAGGAAGTGTTAGATATTTGTGCAGGTATTAAACTAAGATCTATAGAGAAATTTAAAAAAGGCAAGCTCTCTACTCTCAAATGTTTAATATCTAATAGTGGAGACAGAATAGACAAACATGAAAAAGTTTTTTAAAAAATCAGTCTTCAATGCAACTTAAACAATGTTTTTCACCTTAGCAGCCATTAAGCTCTCCCATCGTGACACCTCAGTTATGTAATTATGAACTCTACTCTTCATATCTTCTTTTTCTTGCACTGCTGCTTCCAATTCCAATGAGATTTCCTATAAATTAGAAAATTGAAGACAAATCTATAATGAACACAGCACCGAATAAGTTCTATTTATATTCAAATAGCTCCTTTGGAATTGGGGAATATGAGAGAGTAGGAAAAAAGGAAAATTGTTCCTAAGGGTTATTTCTACATATTTTTCCTGGCTGATCTGGACTTTTTAACCAAACTTTACCACACATCTCCCACAATAGTCCTGACCATGTATCAGGCACTTACGCAAAGGGTTAGCAATAATCAGGGGTTGGCATTTTTTAAAAATTCATATAACAGGAATATGTTTTATACTCCATAATACTGAAAGTAACTTTTGAAAAATGTAAAATATTTCAAACAGAAAAATTATTGGTCTTCTTGGTATAATCCTTTAATAAACCAGTACAAACAAAACCAATATCTTTTAGTATTTGACATTCTAAAATGTGCATTCATTTATTTACGGGTATATCTCTAAGCCAATGGAAGTAAGCACAAATTATTATCATCTATCATGTGTCTTTTAAACACAGAAACTGCCCTGGGAGTGATGCAGAGGTCCTCCTCATCCGATAGAGTGACAATGATTTTTGCCATAGAGAATTCCATGCTCCTACCTTTAGGTTTCCTTGCAACAAAGATCAAAATGGTGAGAAGACCATGGTTGTACCCCATTAGACACCCTGTGATATACAGCAGCATTCTAAACTACATTTTTTAACATCTCCAATAAACACCATTCTTCTTAAAAAAATTATTTTGCTTACATCATACAATTTTAGAAAAAAATGTTTAGAGCTTTAATATTTAGCAAACAATGAATAGGTACTATAAAACTATTAAAGTCGATGCACTGTGTCCATACCTGGTTTTCTCTTGCCATTGTAGCCAGATCATCTTGTAATCTTCTGTTTTCCTTAAAAGATATTTCTCTCGATCTTCCTACTTCATCAAGTTCTTTGTGAGCTGAATCAAGCTGGCGCCGGAGGCTGCCTATCTCACGTTCTCGATTAGTCAATGTTTCCTTTAGCTGGCTGTTAAATAAGTGATGTGGAAATAATAATAAAAAGCTTTTTGGAAAACTGTAGCTCATTTTTTAAAAAACTGTTGAAGTCTAAGTATACATAACATATAAGATATATTAAGAATATAAGAAATTATTAACTATAGCATTAAAATACTGATTAATTAGGTAAAGCAGATATTTTAGATCTCTACCAATCATTATATGCAAATAAAGTCATAAAATAAGTATATATTCCAAAAGCAAAGTAAAACAGAGAAAATTTTTAGACATTAAGAGCAAAACATTATAATCACTGGCAAGTATTTATTAAATGTTTACAATCCCATTAGTACATAAAAACTAAGGGTATGCAAAATGAATATAAGTGATTTTTGTCTTGAAATGGCTTAAAATTTTTCTGGAGATTAGATATAAAATTTTGTGACAGGCCGGGCGCGGTGGCTCACGCCTGTAATCCTAGCACTTTGGGAGGCCGAGACGGGCGGATTGCTCAAGGTCAGGAGTTCGAAACCAGCCTGAGCGAGACCCGGTCTCTACCAAAAATAGAAAGAAATTAATTGACCAACTAAAAATATATATATACAAAAAATTAGCCGGGCATGGTGGCGCATGCCTGTAGTCCCAGCTACTCGGGAGGCTGAGGCAGTAGGATCGCTGAGCCCCGGAGATTGAGGTTGCTGTGAGCCAGGCTGACGCCACGGCACTCACTCTAGCCTGGGCAACAAAGTGAGACTCTGTCTCAAAAAAAAAAAAAAAAAAAAAAATTTTGTGACAGTGTTTAAGATAGGTTTAGATAGAGAATAAATTCCAGATTGGCTATGAAAGTAATCTATGTTTTGATGATTAGTGCCTGAACAGAGTAATTACAATAAAAATAAGGAGCAAGCAGGTATGTAGAGGAATAGTTAATGAGACATAAGATGACCTAAGATGTTTAGATGTGGATGACAGAAAAGGGGAGAAAGTTAAAGAGGATAACATATTTCCAAGTAAGAAACTGAGAAAATACTACTGCCATTAGCAAAAAAGGAGAAATTGAAAAAAGAAATTTTCCTATTGCTGGATTGCAACTAAACAGATAAAACTAAAAGTTTCTTTAAAAAGCCATTTCATTAATTACTTACTTCATAGATAATTCACACTCTGAGACTGTTAGCGTCATCTGAGCAATAGTTTTTTCCTATTAGGAAATATAAAAATATATGATCCTAAACCATTCATATAGAAATATCTTTAGTTAAATTTTTATAACTTATCACATTTATATAGTCAGACATATAGTTGAATTATATAAATTATGTCATAAAAGAAAGCTCCAAGTAGACATATTTCCAAGATCTAAATGTACATCACATATCAGCATGTTTCTATCCACCCTTCAATGGTTGAGTCTGCTTTAATGAGATCTCATAAAATCATGCTCTAGAAATAGATAAAATCACATTTTAAAGATTCAAATTATTGGAATAAAATGAAAAACATATTAGAAGACATGGCCCTGGGTCTTAAGAACTTGTATGTGGATAATAAGATCCACATATTTGAAACAGAGAATAAAATAATATTTTCTGTTCAGACACTGGAAAATGATATTTAACATGTACCTACTTTAGTAACTATGTTTTCTTGCAAATTTGCGATCTTTTCTGTCTTCTCATCTACAGTGTCCTGAAGAAAGTCTTTTTCTTTATCAATAACACCTATTGTCTTTTTCATTACATGAGCCTCCTCATCCTGTGAAGTCATCTTAAGGTTTAGTTTATCTATAAATGAAAAGAAATGTTTGTTAGACAATGTAAATTAGCATTAGCAAAAACAAAATTTAAAAACACTCACCTATTTTTTCCTCCAGTGTTTTAATTTGTGCTTGGGCTGATTCAAGTTCACCTCTTTTTAGGGAAAGTCGATGCTGATAGTCATCAAGCGACCGCTGTAGCTGCTCATTTACCATCCTAAAGAATCAGTGGACAAAATCAAATGGTATTATCTCTAAAAAAATAATTTTTAAAAACAAAAAGTCTTAAAAAAATTTAATTTCTTATTCTTTAAGTTTCTTTTTTTTCCTCATTTTAAAGCTCTCCCAGTATAATCAAGGGCATTCATTATACGATATATCATTTTATTTCAATAAACTTACCTAAGTGAGTTCACCTCTGCCTTCTGATGAGATGAGTCACCACAAATTACATGGCTAAGTTTTTGAGCATGGAGTTTTGATTTGTTCTCTAATGACTCTATTGTTTCTTTCATTAATAACATTTTAGCCTTTAATTCATATTTTTCGCTTTCAAGCTATAATTTAAATTTGAAAAATTAATAGGTATATATCTTAATATCTTAATTTTAGTTTTCTTAGGCACTCTAATATTTCTAAATGAAAACACTATAAAACAAACTAGCCTAAATGAAACAGAGAGAAAAACAGACTAACAGAAAACACAGCAAATTGTCAAAAATCCTATCTCTAAAGAGAGTAGTGAAGAATGAAGATGAATTTCACTTTTTACTCTATGTCTCTATGATTTTTTTAAAAGAGCAAAACAACAATAATCATAGATAATACCTACTAAGCACTCACAATATGCCAAACACTCTTCTAAGTTCTTCATATGTATTAACTCATTTAATTTTCACAAAAACCCTAAGAAATAAGTGCTAGCACTATTTCTATTTTGCAAATAAAGAAATTGAGGGACAGAAAGGTTAAATAACTTACCTACAGGTAATAGGAGGCAGAGTTGGATTTGAACCCAAGTAATCAGACTCCATCCTCCTAACTGCTGCTATACAGCTTTCCTAGCAGACTATTTAATAATTTTAAAAACATAGTATACTAAAACTATAATTAATATAGTTATTCATAACATAATATATCCCAAATCCAGTTTAATAAGTTACCTGATGATTAACATATTTCAAATGTTCAATAGTTTTCTCTAATTCTGACTTTCCATGAAGACCCATTTCCTGGATATTCTGAAAAAGAATTTTATAAAAAATGTTCATTTACATCAGATAATAAAACAAAATCCCCAAGGTAAGCAATGCAAGTACTATTATATTATATACAATATTATATATATTTAAAACATTATATATAATGTTATATATATTTGCATTATATACAATGCAAGTACTATTATAAGTACAGTACTATTATATCCTATCTGTCTTTTTATAAAATAGAAATGTTTTAGAAAAAGAATCACTACGCATTTTACAAAAATTATGCCTTTGGTAAAAAAAAAAAAAAAAAATAGGCTCTCATCTTTTACACTCTCTACCTCCATGTGTGACTGTGGCAGAAGACAAAGATTGGTATGGATTCCTTTGTAAAGATTCATACAGATTAATCCATATTAGCACAACTATAAAAGGACAAAACCAGCAAGCTAAGTAACAACCTCAGGAGATGCCCTCACAAGAGAAACAGTATGCAAAGGAAGAAAAAACAAGATCAGAAAGACCTTGGAAACAGAATACCACATGGCCAGCAAAGAGATCATAGCTTCAAGAAGAGGATGGTCAATGGGGCTGTTTTTCTAGTCAAATTACCTATCCAACTCTGCTGTTGCTAAGTCTGGAATAAGTGATGTAACTGGCTGTTCACTGAGAGTTTTTCTAAGTGTGGATTCATTATTTTCATACACAGTATTCATTAAAAAGAAATAAAGACATCTAATGTTTGGATTATGTATTTGGTTGAAAGGATCACTATACTGAATGTATTTATTCATTTTATTAAATGACCCAGCTAGTATTAACTGGGTATATATATACTCTATACCAAGGACCAGGCTAGGTGTTAGGAATACAGTAATGAGTAAAATGGAAGAAGTCTCTAACTTCATAGATACTATAGCCTAGTAGAAAAGATAAACTTTAAACAAGATTCATAAAATCCATGAATATCTGGCTAGGAAAAGGAATTTTATGCCAATTTATCAAGAGGGAATCTAGAGTCTAGGGTTCATTTTCTATCTTAGGAAATGATGTTTAACCTAGACTTAAAGGATGAACAGGAATTAGCTAGACAAGGAGACTGAAAAGTATGAAGGAATCTTTGTTTTTTCTTTTTTTGGAGATAAGAGTATAGTGGTGTCATCATAGTTCACTGCAACCTCAAACTCTTGGGCTCAAGCGATCCTCCTGTCTCAGCCTCCTGAGTAGCTGGGACTACAGGCTGTGCCATCATGGCCAGCTAATTTCTCCATTTTTTTTTGTAGAGACAGGATCTCACTCTTGCTCAGGCTAGTCTCGAACTCCTAAGCTGAAGCAATCCTCCTGCCTCAGCCTCCGAGAATGCTAGGATTACAGGCATGGCATGAGCCACTGTGCCCAGCCTGAAGGAATCGTTCAACAGTCTATGTAGAAAGAGGCAAGAAAAAGTCCATTAGGCCTAGAGTCTTGAGAAAAAGCAGGGTGAGGAACAAGGAAAATGAGATTAGGAAAAAGAAGCTAGACCTTGAAATAGACAAGGGTCATCATTCACTGAAGTCTATGAAAACAGTTAGTGGATTATAAATACCAAGTGACATGATCACATTCATATTTTTGAAGGATGACTCTGACTTCAATGTGAAATATATATTTGGCAGAGAGAAGACTAGCACAGAGGTCACTAATATAACAACGCATATGAGAGAGAACGACGACCAGAACAGGATGGTAGCAGAGAAACGGAAGGATGTAAATGAATTCGAGAGAAAGCAACGTGAGCCAGGAGCCAAAATCCTTGAGACTCCCACTTGGGTGGCCTTGGGCAAGTTATTTAAACTCACTGCAACTCAGAGACCACCTCCATAATCAGTACCTATCAGAAAAGGCTAGTGAGAAGATTTACTGAGATAGCCCACGTAAAAAGCACTTTGAAACGTGCCTTCCGCATTGGAAGGGCTTAATAAATGTTAAATAATATTTAAGAGGTAGCACTGATAGGACTTGGTGACTGAGAGATATGAGCTTTCAGGGACAGCTTAGTGTTAATACTTGGATTTGACAACTAGTTAGATAGTGGAAAAAGAGGAAATACCAGAGGAGACTTAAGGATTGAGATGACTAGTTCAGTTTTTAAGTAAAAGACCTGTTGTAAACTCACAATATCCTGCCTCCTATAACCCATAAGGATTCTGGTAATATGAATGTTACTTTTTCTGAGTTTTCAGTACTACTGCATTTCTTTAATCCTATTTTTATATTCCTTGGTCATTTCAAGAGATACGGAAAAGGATAAGGCAGGAGCGTGTGCTAAAACCTGCCAAACTGACAGAAGTTTCCCATTTGGTAATTTTAACACTTATTTTTATAACACTTTCTGGAACGTAGTATTCCAAAAGATTCCAATTAAAAGTATTCTTAAACTGTATTTTGGAAAAATAATATATGATGAATAGAAGGAGTATACTTATAATGTTTACATGTTTTTATTCCTAATTTTAGCTGCTTTGAAAGCATTAATTTGTCATTATTATTATTTATTTCGGCATAATTATGGGAATACAGACTTTTACAGTTTCAATAAATGCCTTTCTCCCCCTCCCCACAAGTCGAGTTTCAGCCGTGACCACCCCCAGATTGGTGCACATCTCACTCATCTATGTAAAACTATATCCTGCCCCACCTCCCCCTGCCCAAATACCCATTACTGTAGTAACCTAATTGTCCACTTTAGGCTGCTGCTCAGATTAATGCAAGTTTGCGTGAGAATTGTGGGTGCTGTTTTTCCATTCTTGGATACCGGTCACTTAGTCACAGTAGATGGGTTTCCAGCTCTAACCAGGAAAATATAAGATGTGCTAGTATCCGCGTTGTTTCTTAGAGCTGATAGTACTCCATGGTATACATATATCACATTTTATTAATCATTCTGGGATTGAGGGCACTTGGGCTGTTTTCACAGCTTGCATTATGAATTGTGCTGCTATAAACATTCGAGTGCAGTATCTTTTTTGTAGAGTGTCACTGACTTTTGGGTAGATATACAGTAACGGGATTGCTGGATCAAATGGTAGATTCACTTGTATCGCTTTAAGGTATCTCCATATTGCTTTCCACAGAGGTTGAACTAGTTTGCAGTCCCACCAGCAGCGTAGGATGTTCTCTCTCTCCGCATCCCGCCAGCATTTATTGTTGGAGACTTTTGATAAAGCCATTCTCACTGGAGTTAAGATGATTATCTCTTGTGGTTTTGATTTGCATTTCCCTGATGATTAGAGATGTGAGCATTGTTTCATACGTTTGTTGGCCATTCTTCTGTTTCTTTAGAAAAGTTTCTGTCAAGTCTTTTCCACTTTTTATAGGGTTATTTCATTTTCTTGTGATTTTCATGAGTTCTAAGTATATTCTAGTTATCAGTCCCTTATCAGATGCGGTAGGATGCAAACATTTCATCTCCATTCGTAGGTTGCCTGTTTACTTTCATGACTTGTTGTCTTGGCTGTCGCAGAAGCTTTTTAGTTTCATCATGTCCCATTATTGTATTTTTTTGCTGCTGTTATTATGCCTTGGGACTTCTTCATAAACTTTCTGCCTAGCCGACTGTCTAGGAGAGTTGTTCCAACATTTTCTCTAGAATTCTAATAGTTTAATACCATAGGTTTAAGTCTGTTATCCAGCGTGAGTTGATTTTTGTGAGAGGTGAAAGGGTGGGTTCTGCTTTAGCTTCTACAAGTGGCTATCCAGTTTTCCAGCACCATTTATTGAAAAGGGATTCTTCCCCAGCGTATGTTTTTCTCTGCTTGTCAAAGATTAGATGGCTATATGAGGATGGTTTTATATCAGGATTCTCAGATGTGTTCCACTGGTCAATATTCCTGTTTTTGTGCCAATACAAGATTGATTTAATTACTACAGCTTTGTCGTATAGTTTGATATCTGGCATATTAATGCCTCCCATCGTTGTTTTGCTTGCTTAGAATTGCTTCTGTGATATCGGGTTCTTCTTGGTTCCATACAAGCATAAAATTATTTTGTCATATCGTGAAGAATCATGCGATGTTTAATAGGATTGTATTGAATCTGTAATCAGTTGGCTAGATAACAGTTTGAATGATGGTGAGTCTGCCCATCCATGAGCTGTATGGACTTGCCAACTGTTAGACATCCTCCGCTGCTATTTAATCCTCAGTGGTCATAAGTTCCCCTGTAGAGTCGTTTACCAGTCCTTGGTAGGACATTCCTAGGTAGTCTTAATGTTCTATGCCTGTGTGTGTGGGTGGCATGGGCAGTGCGCGTTGGCCTTCTCTTTCGATGCTTTTTTTAATGATCTTGTTTCGCTCTTAATCTCTCCTTGGTCCGTTTGCCTATTGTGAACGCGGAATTGCGAGGTCTTTGATTTGTTCTCAATTTGATTGTGTTGGCATATATGAATGCCTCTGATTTCTATGTATTGATTTTGTATCCTGAGACTTTACTAAATTCATTGATCAGTTCCAGGAGTTTCTTCGTTGAATCTTTGGGGTTTTCTAAATATAATATCATATCATCAGCAAACAGTGAAAGTTTGATCTCTTCTGCCCCTATTTGATACTTATTCTACTTTTTCCTCGATTGCTGTAGCCAGGATCCAGCACTATGTTGAATAAAAGTGGAGATAGTGGGTACCTTGTCTGGTTCCAGTTCTAAGTGGGAATGCTTTCATTTTTCCCATTCATATGATGTTGCTATGGGTCTGTCATATATGGCTTGTATCATTTTTAGGTATGTCCCTTCTATGCCTATTTTATTAAGTGTTCGTATCATGAAAGGGTGTTGTAATTTAATATTATTAATTGCAAGTAAACTATGGAATCTATAATAACAATATTTAGTATTTATAATGTGCTAAGCACTGTTAAGTGCTTTACATGTATTAATATATTTATTTTTTGGAGATTATAAAAAATATATTGCCCCAGATATGACACCAAATGTACAACAAAAGAAATAGATAAACTGGACTTCAACCAAATTAAAAATTTTTGTGCTTCAAAGACACCATTAAGAAAATGAAAAGATGACCCGCAGAATGAGGGAAAGTACTTGCAAATCACTTATCTGATAAGGGGTTATATCAAAAATATATAAAAAGCTCTTAAAACTCTATAATAATGAGACAATAACCCAATGTTAAATGGTCAAGGAATCTGAATAGACATCTCTCCAAAATAAGATATAAAAATGGCCAATAAGAACATGAGAAGATGCTCAATATCACTAGCCACTGGAGAAATGCAAATCAAAAAGCCACAATGGATACTACTTCCCATCCACCAGAATGAATACAATACAAAATACCATGTAAGTACTGGTGAGGAGGAGAAAACAGGACCTTTGTTCACTGTTGGTGGGAATGTGATATGGTATAGCCAATTTTGGAAAACAGCTTGGCCTAAGTGGTTAAAGACAGACTTATCATATGACCCAGAGAGTTACCGCATGTCAAGGCATATACTCAAGAGAAATAAAAACATATACCCACACAAAAAGTTCTACATAGCTGGGCATGGTGGCATGCACCTGTGGTTCCAGCTACTCGAGAGGTGAGGCAGGAGGATTGCTTGAGCCCAGGAGTTTGAGGCTGCAGTGAGCTATGATCCAACAGAGTGAGACCCCATCTCAAAAAAAAAAAAGTTGTACACAAGTCCATAGCAGTATTATTCATGCATAAATCTTGAACATATTATGCTAATGAGAGAAGCCAGGCATTAAAAAATCACCTATTGAATGATTCAATTTATATGAAATACCTAGAGCAGGGCAAATCTATAGATATGGAATGTGGATTAGTGGTTGTCTATGAGGGATCTGAGGGGAAATGGGGAGTAACACTAATGGGTTACAGGATTCCTTTTTGTGGTGATAAAAATGCTCTAAAATTGACTATGGTGATGGTTGCACAAGTCTGAATACACAGATGGTCCCCACCTTATATATAGCTAACTATTTCAATTTTATAAGGGGTTTATCAGGATGTAACCCTATTGTAAATTGAGGAGGATTGAACTTACAATGGCTCAACTGAAGATTTTTCAACTTTATGATGGGTTTATCAGGGCATTACATGCATTTTTGACTCACAGTGGCTTTACTGGGACATAATCTCATTATAAATTGAGAAACAACCATACTAAAAATCATTGAATTGGTGCAATTTAAATGGATGACTTGCATGGTATGTGAATATTTCCACAAAGCTGCTATTAAAAAAAGGACAATGTCTTTTCACATGAGAAACTTCCTGTTTAGTTTAGGGATTGGTAAACTTTTAGTTTAGGGATTGGTAAATTGTCTGTAAACTAGACAGTAAATATTTTAGGCTTTGTTGGTCAAACGACTATAAAAAAAAACTACAAATTACATGTAAAGAAATGAGCAGGTATTCTAATAATACTTGGTTGGCAATGAACTATTTCTCTTTAGCCATTCTTAGATCACAGGCCATAGGTAAACAAAGTGGTCTGGATTTGGCCTGCATGCTACTGTTTGCCAACCTCTAATCTGGTTGTACATTCTCAGTAGTAACTTCAAAAGAAAATGTATATAAAGACCTATTTTTCTCAATAAATTACCATTCAAAAATACATCCAGGTTATTACTTACTTTTAACTTTTCCCTTAAGTCTTCCTTTTCTGCCATAATTCTTCTTAAGTCAGACAATGCAAGTTCTTTTTCCTTTTCCATAAGACTAACAATATTATGGGAGGCTGTACTTCGGCTGGATTCCTGTCTTAGGGCTGATAATTCTTCCTTAGCCTTAAAGAATTAAAAAGATATAAATAAAAAACGCTTTGGATACGCTCCCACTTAAAAAAGACAAACTGAACACATGCTACCTTCACTTTCTTCCCAAATCCCAACAAAATGAGAATAAAAGATTAAAATAGTAAAAATAATAAAACCAAAAAGACCTAGGGAGGTACCAGCCACAAAATGTTAGAAACTAGATAGCAGACAGACAAGTAGGAATTTAACTAAGCAGACCCAAGAAAATCTACACCAAAGGTGAAAAAAGCCGAGTAGATCAATTTGCACTGCAGAATCCCAAAAAGACTCAAGCAAAAACAGCTCATTCAACTTTTTAACTTGCATGTCTCCTCCCTAGCTCAAAGTAGCAGTAGGATTTCATGGGACATGGATATGGGAACAAATTTAGGTGACAGACACCATGCTTTATTAAGACTCACCTGGCCTTCTATCAACTGGGGTTCTGTAAACAGGGGCAACCTCTACTGATTCCTTCTACCCTAGAGTTTTTTCTCTAGAGGCTAAGTCCTTAATAGCCAACATATCCAAATAGTGGTCATCACCCATCATTCTGATAGACATACCCCAACATATCTGAATCCCAAGGATAAACCTGGCTCAGAGTCAGGCTAACACTTGTTCCAGGTAGTTTTAGAAAAAGGAGACTATCTCTAGTTGACTTGACACATAGGCTAGAAAAGAAGAAGAAGAAATATGAAAAAAAATAAGAGAAATCTCTGCTTTAGGAACAGGATGATAGCAGAAACTGTAATTCTAATTATGAAGAAATATCACAAGGTCCGTATATTACAGTAATTTGAAGGATATATACTGGTTCCATTACAGTTAACTGGTTCTATATTATCTGTTGGCTTAATTATAAATTTCTTACTTCATTATATAAGACACTTAGTTTATCTCTTTCTGATGTCAGTAATTTAACATTGGACTGTATATCCTCCATATATTTTTCAAATCTTTCTACCATACGCTGAAGTTCATCTCTTTCTCTTGTGATCAGATGAATGTCTGAATTGTAATCACCCTGAAACATAATTAAAAAACAGAAGTTATCATTTGTTATCATTATCACCACATGGTTGTCACAAGGGTGCTGGTGATGAGACTGACTGAAAGATGCTAACAAACAAAAAGAAGACAAGTTCCTTTAATGTAATTAAGGAACTAAGTTTTTTAAATCAATAATGAGAACAGATGAGAACACTGGCAGTATTGGGACAAATTTCCTGGCCTTCAAGTTGCCAGGAAGGGACCTAGCTGCCAGTGGTACTCCTTGTTGGGACCCCATCAGATGCTTCAGCTGTCATTTTCCTGGAGTTGTTCACACTGTTGGTATTTAAAGTGTAATCACCAGACCAGAAACATCAGCAGCATTCAGGAACTTGTCAGACATGCAAATCTGGGGGCCCGCCCCAGACCTACTCAATCAGAAACTGTGGGTATAGGGCCCAGTAACTATTAATATGCTTTATCTAGCCCTCCAAGTGATTCTGATACATGCTAATTTTTGAGAACCACTAAGTTCATAATCTTATTCAGGAAAGGGGCCAGGAGGGTCTATGTGTACCTGCTTATGCGGGGCAAGTAACTATAACAGCTTAGCACATTCCTCAGTATCTTCTGTGACTGAATCTAAGATCAATCTCCTAAGCACACCAATCTCTAACTGTTCCAGCTTCACACCTACATGAGGTCTATTTTTACAATCAGATAAATGTAAATATTTCTACCACACAGTGTATATTAAAGATGCTCAATGAATAAGCAACTACTTCCAATATTTTTCAAACACAAATATGTCTACTATTCCAGTACAATTCAAAAGGTCCATTATCTTCACTGCTTTTGTGGAAAATAAAAATGGTCAATGTAGACTTGGGAATCTATGGTTTCTTTATGTTAAAGTACTAAATGCAGCAGCCCCAAGGAGGGATAATCTGATCGTGTGGCACACTAGGAAGGGTCCTGGCCTATATTATCTGTTGTGCACACACCATGGGCAATGTACACTTGGTAAATGGTAGATATCTGTAAGGTACCCTTCACTTGCTCCTTGAAAATAAATTACCCTCTTGGTCAAACAAGAAAAATCAAGGCATAATGGATAAGATTAGTTATCTGGACACCTTGAAGGACAAGGTGTTTTACAGGACAATGGCAGATAGAGTTTCAGGACATAATCAAGGTTTAAATAACTATAAAAGAAAATGTATAAACTAATCATATCTAAATAAAAAATCTTACAGAAAAGAAGTGGTCTGTATCAATTCTAGAAAAGAGGAGCTCAATGAATAAAGATTTGACAATCTATTTTCATTACTGTTTAGGTCTCAGCTTAAATGTCACTTTCTCTATGAAATCCTTCCAGATTCTCTGATCGGATTTAGATCTCCTTCTATATACTCTCATAGCATTCTGAGCCTTTCCTGTACTTACTTTCTTCAATAACATTTATATAAATGAGATTATAAAGTTATTTACATGATTCTGTGTTTAATGTATGTCTGTTTTACTAAAATTTAAGCTCTACGAGGGCCAGAGTAGGTATCTGGTCTTGTTTACTATATCTTCAGTGCCTAGCATGGCACCTGGTAAAGCATGAATTCCCTGAACATTTATTGACTGACCTTAAGCAGAAACTCTAACTCTTCTCCAAACATATCTAATATGTACCTGTTTCTATTAGTGTTAATGTATAATTGTTAATAACTCACTCTCACCACTCCATTATTCTCAAAACACACAAGAGCGCGCGCGCACACGCGCACACACACACACACACACGCACACATCACCACTGAAGGCCGTGATTTCTCTCTGTGTTCTGTGCCTCCTCCATAGCAGGCACTCAGTACATATGTGCTGTACTGGACCTAACTTCCTACCTACACCTGGTTTGCTTTGACCCAGCAAATAATAAAGAAATGAACCATTTACTGGGAACTAGGTGTTACGCTAGACTTTTATACAAAGTATCTCATTGATCAAAGGGTACAAAATTTCAGTTAGACTGGAGAAATAAGTTTTGGTGATCTATTACACTGCACGGGGAACACAGTTAATAATAATGTATTGTATATTTCAAAATTTCTGAAAGAATGTATTTTTAGCATTCTTACCACAAAAAAAATTTTAAGTTGGTGAGGTGCTGGATATGTTAATTCGCTTGACTGAATCTTTCTGTAACATATACATAGATCAAAACATCACACCGTACCCCCAAAATATATGTATACAATTACTTGTCAATTAAAAATAAAACAAATTATCTTGTGAAGATACTTATGAATTATTACTTGCCAATTAAAAATAAAATAAATAAATTATCTTGTGAAGATAATAATCTTCACAAGATATTGTAGTTACTTTCCCCACTTTGCAAATGATGAAACTTCCCCAAGGTCATAAAGCCAGTTTGTGAGGCCGGGCGTGGTGGCTCACGCCTGTAATCCTAGCACTTTGGGAGGCCCAGGCGGGTGGATTGCTCAAGGTCAGGAGTTCGAAACCAGCCTGAGCGAGACCCTGTCTCTACCAAAAATAGAAATAAATTAATTGACCAACTAAAAATATATATACAAAAAATTAGCCGGGCATGGTGGCACATGCCTGTAGTCCCAGCTACTTGGGAGGCTGAGGCAGTAGGATCGCTGAGCCCCGGAGATTGAGGTTGCTGTGAGCCAGGCTGACGCCACGGCACTCACTCTAGCCTGGGCAACAAAGTGAGACTCTGTCTCAAAAAAAAAAAAAAGCCAGTTTGTGAAGTTGGAACTTGTAACAGCCCTCCAATTCCAAAGCACTTTCTGCTACACTATACTCATAAATACTTGACTAAACTGATCAATCATTTTGTGAAAGATTCTTCTACACAATGAAAATGATCAATTCAGTGACTTATTTCTCCTGAGTCTGAAGTATATATGGAACTTAACAACTCAGTAACACAGAAATTAACTTATATTTTCCCACCAATTCACTCTACTTATAATACATAACATAGCATAGGGTTTATACTAACAACTGTAAATCAAAATTTAGTCATTAGCCAAATAAGGTTAAAAATCGAAGTCTAACTGGAAGACTTAAAACTGTTTGAGAATGGACACAGAATCTTCAAGGAAAAGATGAGAGAAGTGGTAAATTCAGCCAAGTCTGAAATCAAATATTTTGAGTTTTAGGATTCTGCCCCAAACTTCCTCTAATTTTACCTAGTGTGTAGATAATGTAAGGACTCCTATAGCTCCAAAGGTTAAAAATAGAAAAATGAACAACTCAAACGATACTCATCAAACACTGAAAATAAGACCTAAAATAGAGATGCATGATTTTAATCTCTCATGAATCATGTCAACTTTAAATAATATACACATTGGAAGATATAATTAGAAAATTACATACAAAGTGAACATCTTTAGACTATCAACTTACAAATGGGGTTGTAGAAGACAAACAGAATAATCTGCCCAGCACCCACTTGCAGTTTCTACCCCTCTCCCGTGTCATGGTTAACGGGGGAGGCCTGGTCAGTAGCATGTGACACACCCTCCTGACTGGTCCAAGGCTGGAAATGGTAAGAAGCCATGTTACCTGCCATGTGGACAAAGCCAGGCTGCTACAAGAGAGAAAATGCAGCTGAGATAGAAAGTAAATTCTAAAAAGTCTGGACACGTCCAGCAGCATGAGCCCCAGGTTTCCGGTTTCTGGAAGCCTCTGCACTTCTCCCACAACTATTCAACCTTTCCTTAATTTACAGGTATCAATATGTTACACTTTGTTCTTAGGTAATTTTCCTAATTAATGCAGTATTCCTATATAGTACAGGTCATGGAAGAAAACAAAAATCAAAATTAGGAATTTTCAAAAGCAATTATGAATAAAGTTACATTTAATATAATAAACTAGAAAAGTTTATTCATAAAGATACTCTCCTGTCTTACCAATTATTCTTACCTTTTCTGGTGTTCTATATATTGAACTTTTTTCACGCACACTATAACTTAAAGGGCAAGATCGTCGGTGTATTATATGTTGGACTTTTTCTAGCTCTTTCTTATAGTAATCTCGTTCTTCTTCTATACCTTTCAGAAATGTATCTAAACGAGAAGGTGACTTGTCTCGACGTTTTATTCCATGTTCTAGTCTCATCCTCTCAACTTCCAAAGTTAGTTCTCTTTCTGCAAATTAAAGTAGTTAAATCTTAAAACAATGTTGCATATATAATATTGATTAGACAAGTAAGTTACATTAGTAACTTTTAGAATGAAAGCTACTAAAAATCATAAACTGTTTTGTATATATCCTATAAGTGCCAGATATATCAAAGAGGTAAATATTGAGAAGGGAAAAAAGGCAAAAATTAATAGTTTAAATAAAGTCTAAGTTCTCTTGCTTTTGTCTTATCACAGGACGAGTATTATTTAGTATAAGGTGAAACAGTAAATTACCACATGGTACTTTCTAGGGACCTGAAAATGCACTAAAAAACTATATCTACAATTAATCATAATACACATAAATTTAACATTATGCCTGAATTTAATACAGTATACACATAAACAAAGATATCAAAACAACTCGTCTTTCTCCGAATAAGCACAATTATTAGCTTTTACCATACAAACTGCCTTTTTATGATGCAAAAGTAACTGAATACTGACAATTTCATACAGTTCAACCTCATTTAATTCATGCTAATTGTAACACTGAGGCATGGAATGATTTTCCTGATGCATTCTGATTCACTCTCATCTCTCCTTTCATTCATTCAACAGATATGTACTTAACATTTACCGTGCACCCATCACTGGCTAAAGATTCAAATATGAAAAACATAGCTAAGGTCAAACAATTATTCTAATTGTAGTAGGATAAAAGTTACAAAAGGACAGCATGCAATGCAAACTGGAAGACAAATTGGGCAAATTCCTCCCAGGAAAGAGTGATGAAAGAGAGGTAGTATGACAGTATGAGAATGGAAAGAATGGACAATTATGATGAATGTTAAGAAATCAAAGACAGTATGAGAATGGAAAGAATGGACAATTATGATGAATGTTAAGAAATCAAATAAGCAAATGAATGAAAAACGTCCACTGCATTTAGCTCATGGAGGTGAGTGACGACCTTACCAGGAGCAGCTTTACTGGTGCGGGGTGGACAGAAGTCAACTGGAATGAACTGAGGAGCTAAGGGGGTTGCAGGTGATCAAGGAGAAATAGCAAGTGTGGATAATGTTTCAAGATGTTGAAACTACGAAGAGGAGGAAAGAGTGGCTGGAAAGCGGTCTAAGTTTTTGTTTCAGACTGAGAGAAGAGTTAGCATGTTTGAATGTCAATGGGAAAAAAATAGTACAAAGACTAAAATTACGGAGAGGAGATTAATAAAATTAATACGTAAAGTTTCTCAAATCAGAGAGGATAGGACCCAGAGAAGAAATGGAGGCACTGGCCTTTCACAAGAGGGGTGCTCCTGCATGGAACAGGAAGGATCAAGAAGATGGACAGGTTTAAAATTTGGGGCCAGGAAACTGAGGCAATGCCTGCCTCATGGCTTCCATTCTCTTAGGAAAACTGGGGTAAGATCACCCCCTCAGAATGAGGGATAGAATGGGAGTCACAGGTTTATTGAGAATGCAAAGCATCTGAAATGTTCTCTCAAGAGAGTGAGAGATCAAATGCTAAGAGAAATAGTATAACATTTTCATACAACTGTGGGGTCCCGCTGAGGTTCAGGACCATCTAATTTACAGTGCTATCAACTCGCCTGGTGCACACACAAGTGGCATTTAGCTGCCCGTGTGTAAAAGTGCAGACGGTAAGTGGTTAGTTCATCCATGGCTGGGTATTTGGCAGGGGGTGCACAGAGAGAAACAAGGGAGTTTGTTTGAGACAGCTAAAGGATCACACTGAAAATGACAGGCCATAGCTAGCTATGAAAGGAAGTAAACTGTAAACTTTTATACATGGTTCTAAGTACTCTGATGTATTAACCCATTTAATCCTCACAACACCCTTCTGGGGTAGGTGTCGGCATTCCTCCCACAGACAGGAAACTGAACCACAGAGGCTACAAAATGTGCTCAAGTTACACAGCTAGTTAGTGGAGAACAGGTCAAACAGATTATCCACATGGATGCTGAAGAGGCTCAGATAAAAGTCTGTTCTTAACACAGCACACTGAAATTCTTTTACCTCCTAACATACACACAGTATGACAGCACCAAGCTTCTCCATTTGCCATTTCTTCTGCCTGGAAAACCGTCCCCAGATCTTCATATGGCTGGCGTCTTGTCATGGAGCCTTTCAATCAGTCAATCTTTAGCACATGTTGCCATTCTAGTTTAATACCTCTTATCATCTAAAATTAACTTCACTTATGTACTACTAGTTTGTCTCCCTGGCATGAAAAAAAGGCTTTGCAAGAGCAAGAACCCTGTGTATCTTGTTTACCAATATATACTCCAGTACCAAAAACAAAGCCAAGCACATGTCCACACAACAGGTAATTCACACGCATCAGTCAAATGAATGAATGAATCAATTCTTACATGTTCCTTAAACCAAGTTATTTAGGAATGGTACCTGGCAGAAAGTTAGCCTATTTCAGTTGTGTGTGTATGTATGTGTATCTCAAGATGATACAACTAACTGTATTTTCTTAAAAAGATTCTGTACTTCAATTTTCCACTATTTGAGAATGGTCTTCTTGTTAGTCTTCATTAATTCTGTTATCAGTCTGGGTCAAAGAAGAACATACTTCTATTGCAAAATATTCAAGCAGAGTTCCCTGTATCAACTACTAGTCAAAATATGAAAGAATTCTTAAGGTCCTTGAGGGAGAGAGATTTCTACTATTTCTACAGTGCCTAGTATGGTTTACAGTAAGCGCGAACAAATATTCATTGAAGTATCAAGGAAAGATCACCTACTAAGAAAAATAATAAATAAAAAGGAAATCACAATCACTTTTTAAGTATAAACATTTTATATCTTACCTGTAACTGTAAAACTTTCCACTTTTTTACTAAGTCTGTGCTTTTCTTGTTCAAGCTGATGAACAACAGCTTCCAGGTCTGATTTTATATGGAGTTCATCATTGAGCTTATCCTTTTCTTTATTGCATAACTCTAATTCCTGCCAATTTTAATACTATAATTAAGATTTCTAACAACTTTATAAAATATTACAGCACTCAGAAGTACACAGATTATCTTTGTAAGCATATTTATATAACAGCAATTCACATATGTAGTGTGTGTGTATGTGTGTCCACACACTTTTAGTTGGTCAAAAATATGGTTTTCAAGTAAAGTTAAATTATCAACTGTGGCTGAAAGTACCATAAAATCCAAATATCAACAATGTTTCTTTGTGGGTAAGTATAACTATCAGATTTTATTTTTTTCTAATTTGGGTAGCATATCACCCTATTTTTTCCTAAATGAGTATGTACTTGTTAAATAAAAATTTTTAAAGCTTGCTTAAAAAGAGGGCAGAGCTGGGCACAGTGGCACATGCCTATGGTCATAGCTACTCAGGAGACTGAGGCGGGAGGATTGCTTGAACCCAGCTGCAGTGTAGTATGATCATACCTGTGAATAGCCACTGCACTCCAGCCTGGGCAACACAGTGAGCTCCTGTCTTCAAAAATAAATATATAAATAAAAAATAAAAGAGCGCTGAAGTAAGACATAGTGTTCTACTGGTTATTCTCTCAGCCTCATTTGCACAATGGAAACAATAAGATTAGGACACTGAGAATTCACTGGTATGGATGTGAAGTGTCCTTTGCACCGTGTCAAGGGTAAGTACTTAATAAATGCTGGTTACTAATATCATTATCTTAAAAGTACACAAAATATAACACTACAGGAAAAATAAAAAAGGTCAGAAAGTAACTACAACAACATCTTACTGTTAGCCAACACAATCAGGACTTGGTCACAGCTCTGAGACAAGCATTATGAATCACATTCAACATTTAGTATGCATACAAATAGCAGTGAACAAACAGCAAAAATCCCTTGCCTTCATGGAGCTTACACTCTAGTGAAAACATCATCAAAACACTTACTTTATATTCCCATAGAGAATTTTACAATATGTTTGAGACTCAAGAATGGACAACGTTTAGCAGATTTAGCTAATTTAATTATTCAGTGTTGAACACCTGCTATTAATAAATTGAATAAAAAGGAAGCCATTATGATACATTGTTCAGGCTACATACAAAAAGCATGAGTATTTGAGTATCTATTATGTGCCAGCATATCATAATGGCTTCCTTTTTTTTTTTTTATTTTTTTATTTTGAGACAGAGTCTCGCTTTGTTGCCCAGGCTAGAGTGAGTGCCATGGTGTCAGCCTAGCTCACAGCAACCTCCAACTCCTGGGCTCATGCGATCCTCCTGCCTCAGCCTCCCAAGTAGCTGGGACTACAGGCATGCGCCACCATGCCCAGCTTTTCTATATATATATTAGTTGCCCAATTAATTTCTTTCTCTTTTATAGTAGAGACAGGGTCTCGCTCTTGCTCAGGCTGGTTTCGAACTCCTGACCTCGAGCAATCCACCCGCCTTGGCCTCCCAGAGTGCTAGGATTACAGGCGTGAGCCACCGCGCCCGGCCAATGACTTTCTCTTTAATTGACTTGTATCACTACAACATCGTAGTTACACTGTGTAAAAAGACATGTAATGAAAAAACTTGGAAATTAGTATTAGTGTTTGTTTTCTTTCTTTTTTTTTTTGCACTACTGACAGCTGAATGTTTTCTATATTACAGGAAACTCTTCCAATTCAATAGGCTACTCAAAAATATTGTCTAAATTTGGGTGACCACTCGTTTCTACCTATAAGCAAGACATTCTTTCTGCCAGTTTACATCTAAGTGCTATAGCTAGGCTTCTGCTGGGATATTTTATTCATCCGGAGACTAACATAACAACCAATATGCCTAGGAAAATGGTATTTAACAAACAAAGCTGTTAAAAGAGGACTGAGTGGTATTCATACAGTTAATATCAAATAATTATCAATTTCTAGTTTTAATATTATACTAATCAACTAACAAGTCATAAAGTACTTAGAAGAATGTAAATTCCTAACAGGCTTCCAAATTTGAATTTTATTTGCCACCCATTATACATAAGATTAAAGAATCATAAAAATGTTATATATCCATACAGAATATTATTTAGCTATAAGAAGAATGAAGTGATGATGCACACTACAACATGCATGAACCTTAAAAACATTATGCTTAGTGAAAGAAGCCAGATACAAAATGCCACAGGTTACATGATTCCATTTATATGGAATGGCCAGAATAGGTAAATCTACAGAAACAGAAAGTGGATCAGTGGTTTTCAAGAGTAAAATAAAGCATAAAAATTTTCCTACTGAGAATGCTGGCCACTCAATTTTTCATCAGCTTACCAGTTGGAGCTTCGCCACTGTTTCTTCCAGATCTCGCATTTCAGAGAGCTTTCTTTTAATCTCTTTCTAGGAAGAGAAAGCCTGTTAGGTAAACACCTAAAAGTCTAAGAAAAGTTATCACTAAGTCATAATAAGACCAAGTAATTTTTTGAGTAACTTATGCTCCCTTCTCATCAGTGAGATCTGAGGCTTTAGCCATTTTTCAATAAAGAAGAAGCAAAATTGAGGATTCTTTTTTTTCTTTTCTTTTTTTTTTGAGACAGAGTCTCACTTTGTTGCCCAGGCTGGAGTGAGTGCCGTGGCATCAGCCTAGCTCACAGCAACCTCCAACTCCTGGGCTCAAGCGATCCTCCTGCCTGAGCCTCCCGAGTAGCTGGGACTACAGGCATGCGCCACCATGCCTGGCTAATTTTTTATATATATTTTTTAGTTGGTCGATTAATTTCTTTCTGTTTTTGGTAGAGACGGGGTCTCGCTAAGGCTGGTTTCGAACTCCTGAGCTGGAGCAATCCTCCCGCCTCAGCCTCCCAGAGTGCTAGGATTACAGGTGTGAGCCACCACGCCCGGCCTAAGGATTCTCTTTAGTATTTCCATATCCTGAATGCTTACGGAAGCATATTTGTGACTTCTGAAAGAAAGGGGACACTTGAAAAACACCTTGTAGGAATTTCCATGTCATTTCCTGACTCTCCTATCCTACTTGCTTTCTCCTCACCTGCTTTTACCAACCTGGACCCTCTATACCACAACTGAGAGAACAGAATGCCAGGATCAAAATATTATACCCCGACAGGAATCTTTTGTTGAGCCCAGTTGTCATTTCTGAGCATTGCCAATGGGACATGAGAAGCCATGTTCAGTATGCTGTGTGCATGAGCATAGACACAAAAGGAGGTGGAAGAGAGGGATGAGATAAAGGAATGGTACAATGAAACTAAACCACAAAAGTAGAATTAAAATTGCACTGATTATGTACTTTTTCAAGACTGTTTTGGTGCTCTAGGGTCTCTTTGAGATTCCATATGAATTTCAGAATTTTTTTCTATTTCTTCAGAAATTCCATTGGGATTTTGATAGGCACTGCACTACATGTGAGTTTTTCACCTCGGTTAATTTTAGTCCTCAGTCTTTTATTCTTCTTGATGCTATTGTACATGGGATTCTTTTCCTAATGTCCTTTTTGGACTGTTAATTCTTAATGTATAGAAGTATACCTAATTTTTGTGTGTTGATTTTGTATGCTGCACTTTGCTGAATTCATTTATCAGTTCTCATTTTTGTGGAATCTTTAGGGTTTTCTACATATAAGATCATGTTATCGATAAAAGAGATAATTTTACTCTTTCTTTGCAATTTGCATGCCTAACTGCTCTGGCTAGGACTTCCAGTAGGTTGAATAGTTGTGATCAGTTGAATAGATGTGATAAGAGTGGGCATCCTTATACTTCCAGTCTTTTAATGTTGAGTGTAATGTTTGCTGTAGGCTTTTCACATACAGTTTTTATTATATTGAGACAGTTTCCTTCTATTCCCTTAATTAGTGGAGATGACACTATATAAAACCAGTTCAGTGATGTAGAGCAATGGTCTTCAAACTAGATTATACCTACTATGGGGATAACATGAAGATTTTCCAAGCATGATATGAAACGATGATATGCACAGAGTTTTAAGGAATCAATATGCGGACTCTTAACTTGCATATACAGTACTTCTTAAAAATGACATAAGAACTTGCTTGTGGACTAGGCAACAGGTGCGTTCCACACTTGCACCCTCCCTTTCACAGCTGCCTTTCTCTTGCTGTTCAAAGCATGGCATGCATATCTCATTAACGTCACAAAGGCACATGCCTCAAGATGTAACAAACTTTTTTTTTTTTTTATTAATTTTTTTTTTATTTTGGCATATTATGGGGGTACAGATTTTAAGGTTTCAATAAATGCCCATTTCCCCCCCTCCCCCCAAAAGTCTGAGTCTCCATCATGACCATCCCCCAGATGGTGCACATCTCACTCACTATGTATGTATATACCCGCCCCCCTCCCCCCTCCCACCTGCCCAATACCCTATTACTGTAGCACCTATGTGTCCACTTAGGTGCTACTCAGTTAATACCAGTTTGCTGGAGAATATATCTGGTGCTTGTTTTTCCATTCTTGGGATACTTCACTTAGTAGTATGGGTTCCAGCTCTAACCAGGAAAATATAAGGTGTGCTATATCACCATTGTTTCTTAGAGCTGAATAGTACTCCATGGTGTACATATACCACATTTTATTAATCCATTCTTTGATTGATGGGCACTTGGGCTGTTTCCACAGCCTTGCAATTATGAATTGTGCTGCTATAAACATTTGAGTGCAGGTGTCTTTTTTGTAGAGTGTCATGTAACAAACTTTTGAAGCACCAGATAAAAAGATAATCTGAAATGTTGGAGCTAGTCACAGGCTTAGAAATAAGACACTATTTTCTCCCATTATGTCTCATTACGAGATGTATTTCTAATAAAATTTTACTTGTTAAATTTAATAAGTATTTGTCACATATTCATAACTTTATTAATATTATTGATACTAATAATGGTGATAATGCTATTCAGAGAAAAATGTTAACGTTTTGAAACTTAGTCACAGAAAATTTTTAAAGTAAGAAATTTCAATTCATATACTTTTTTTATTACAGATGTATGATAGCACGATCATAAAAAGACATTCAAGGCTATAATACTAGCACTCTGGGAGGCTATGGCAGGAAGATCGTTTGAGGTCAGGAGTTCGAGATCAGCCTGAGCAAGAGCAAGACCTTGTTTCTACTAAAAACAGAAAAACATTAGCTGGGCATGGTGATGCCCACCTGTACTCCCGGCTACTTGGGAGGCTGAGGCAGGAGGATCGCTTGAGCCCAGGAGTTTGAGGTTGCAGTGAGCTATGATGATGCCACTGAACTCTAGGCAGGGCAACAGGGTGAGACTCTATCTCAAAAAAAAAAAAAAAAAAAAAAAGACATTCAAGTTATAATATGCTAAAATTTTGTTGGGCTTTCAAGAAGAAAGGGTGATTTAGATTTCATTGGCTTTCATTAAAAGAATGATGAGACAATTTTATTTTAAGAGATCAATATTTATAATAGAGTAGAAATTTCATTCTTTCCATCTATTTAAACTCAGAAATGAAAAATATTAGCTACCAACTTAAAAATGTGCAAGGACATACATAGTTTTAAAAACATCTTTAAAGAATTCTTGAGCAAGAAATGACATAGGGAACAAACTTTAGAAGCTTTCTCACAAAGCAGAGATAAAATGACAGAGAAGAAAATCTTGAAGAAAGTCAGAACAGAGTTTGGAGACCCATCCAAAGAATAGGTTTGCTTCAGAAAGACACACAAACAACTAGAACAGATATAATCAGAGGGTATAAACAACACTTAAGAAAACCTTCAATTACCAAAATAAAACAAAAAATCTAAGACATAAACCAAAAACATGAGTATAGATATCAAAAGGGGTTACCTTCACTACACTCTCAGAGAATTAATGAGAGTTTAATTAATTAACTCCCACAACCTCGTATCATTACCTTTGCTTCCTCAAGTTCTTTATCAGCAGTCTCAAGGACTTCTTCCTTATGTCTTTCCAACTGTTGTGCTAAATGGTCTATTTCAGTTAATTCTTGGCAGAGTTTTTCATTTCTTTCACTTAAATTAACAACTTCAGATGTCACCGTTTCCTTGGTTTCCATAAGCTCTTGTATATTCTTCTCCAGGTCTTTATTAGCTTGCTGAAGAAAGTCAACCTATATTGAATTTGTAATTCATAATGTATGTAAATTGGAAAAGTATCCTAATTACTAACTTTCAAAATAACATTTAAAAAAAACTATATTTCAGAAGATACTTAAAATTAAAACCACAGCTATTTTATATTTGCAAACTTGTATTTTTTTAATTTGCAAAACAGACAATATGTGATTTAATGAAAATATATATCCACTGGCTTTGATTTTCAAGCACAAAAGGGATAAGGAATTTATGTGAACTTTTCCCCAACACAGAGCTGCAACACTATGACTAAAATATCACAATGATGATATTACTCTAAACTGTGTTGTCCAATATAGCAGCTACCAGCACTCACATGTGGCTGCTGAGTACTTGAAATGTGGCTAGTCCAAACTGAGATGTGCTATAAGTGTTAAATATACACAGGATTTCAAAGACGCCACAAAGGAAAAATGTGTATATAAAGCTATCACTTGTTGAAATGATAATATTTTGTATATACTGGCATAAATATATTATTATAATTTTACCTCTTTTTTAGTTTTTAAAAAAACTAGCTACTAGAAAATTTCTAATTATATATAGGGCTCATCATATTTCTATTGGACAGCACTCACTGTTCTAGAGTTATTATTGATATTCTTTACTTACTCTATTCTATTTGCAGCCCAGGCAGCTCTGACATTTCTAAATTTCTAAAGTTCCTGTATCATGCTTTATGGAACTCTCCTGCTCTTTCATCCTTAGGTCAAATACATGGCAAGGGAATTCACTATGTAAGCAGATAAAAGCTAGGTGTTTAATTTTCATATATATTTTTAAATCATCTTTTTTACGTGACAAGAGAAATACAAAGTCATAAAACTTTTGAAAATGAAGAAAATCATAAAGACAACTATCCCATCACACAAAAATAAGCTTTGTTAGTATATTTTGGTATATTCTCTTTCAGTGTTTTCTTAGTGTTTCCAAGTACATATATACATTTTCTTAAAGGCAAATTGAAGACCACATTGTGCCCATAGTTTATTATCTTCTTTCAAATTCTTAACAGTATGGTGTGTCTTAATTCTGGCCTCATTAAATATTCATTAAAAACATGATTTTTCAACAGCTGTATCCTATTTTTTGGATACTTTGGCTCTATCAAATATTTCCTACTGCAAATAATACCTTAGTGAAAAACCTGTCACTTTTACAAACCCACAGACCACTAAGGATTTTATACGCTCAGTGCGACAGATATAAAACCATTACCTGAATATTTAAATGAGCAATAAGCTTTTCATTGGCTTTATTTCTGGACTCCAGAGAGAGGACATCAGGGGAGCGACCACCATCCAAAGCAACGGACAGTCGTTCTATCTCTCGTTCTCTTAGCTCAATCTGAAAACATAAAGTCATGCTATCATTTTTAAAAATCTGGTCTTGAATCAAAGGACTAAAACTAAACAAACATTTATGTAGACATACTTTTTTCTTATCTCCCACAATGTACATAAGAAACACTGCCATTTGCACCCACACATACATGCATATACGCAAAGCAAAAATAACACAGAAAATATCTATGTAAGTATTATCAACATAGCTTTCATAAATATTTTATTAAATAGATTCTTCCTAGTTTGATTTTTGGATTTTTTTCCCTTCTCTAAGAATTAGGCAATGTTTATATAAAAAGGAACTTGCTAGCAGATTATATACATGCTCAAGGACTGGAACTGAATCTGAACTACTTTAATGCCTGGTGGAATAAATGTGGAATAAACAAATGCATGTTCCACTCCAAATGACTTCACAAAGAAAAATAAAAAAAAAAAAACAAAAACAAAAACAAATGCATGTAATACACTAAGAAGAGTGAGTTGCTACTGCACCTTAATATTGAAAAGAACAGGAAACTGGGGTGAATTTAATTAATTGTTACTTAGAAAACAGACATAAAATAAAAAAGATCACTATTAACTATGAATTGACTGATTCACATGCAAAAATTTGGAAAAACCCACACTTTCAAGTTTTGGTTTTCTTTCTTTAAAAAAAAACAAAAACTGAAAACAAAAACCAGTCAATTCAACAAACAATAAGCACAGAACTAGACCATGAATAAAACATGATCCTTGACTTTCAGAAGCACACAGCTTTACAGGAAAAACTATTAATAGCAAGTGAACCAATAATTGTTGTGTGATACGGTATTCAATGACAGAATAAAAGAAATAGGGATAGGGCACCAAAGTATTATAGTTAAGGGAATGAAGTAATTTACTCTGCATGGTATGTTTATGCATGCAGAAATTCGTAAAGGCCTTATCAAATAAGTATGCCCAAAAGGTTATAAATGATGTTCTAAAGAGAAGAAAAGAGGAGTGTTCCAGGCAGTGATACAAAAGCATAAAACAACATGGTATGTTTGAGGCAGCAGAAATGGCTCAGTATGACTGGGTTGTAATGTAAGGAAACTAGTGGTTGAAGATGAGTCTGAAGAATTAGGCAAGAACTAATTATGATTATTCTGGACTGAAGGACGAATTTGATAGGAATAAAAAAATCTGAGGCACGGAGACCTACTGTAGGAATGTATGAGAGACAAGGAAGGCCTAAAATGAAACACTGTTATAGGTTAGAACAGAAGCCACAGTTTAAGAAGTACGTAGGCAGGGGAACTGGGACAGAAGCCGGGGTGTGCTGTGTAAAGGCAAGAGAACGAGATGTGTTATAGAAAGACTGCAGAATGTGGTCTTGGGCAGATGGTGACGCTACCAACCAAAGTAGAGAATATAGGAGTTAAAACAGACGTGAGGCAGAAGGTAAGTTCTGTACTAGCCATATGAGTACAAAAAGACTGAATCCAAGTGGAAATGCGCAGTGTGAAGTTGGGTGTATGGGTCTGGAGCTCAGCAGAGAGGTTTGACCCATAGAGAGATCAAGGAGTCATAAATAAGCAGGCAATATTCTAAACCAAGAGAGCAGAGAACACCTGAGAATAGGAAGAAGAGAAGATATCAAAAACAGATTCCTGGAAAACGGTAAAATTTCAGGGAGCAGGCAGGTGAAAAAAAGCAAAAATAAATTATGAGAGGATTAAAGAACAAAAACGAAAACTGGGAGAAAATTAAGTCATGAAAGAGTTTCAAAGAAAAATTATCAACAATGTCAGATATCACACAGTGGGTCAAGTAAATAAAGACTTGAAATATCCTTTGGATTTAGCAATTGATGTCACTGATGCCATTAATTAGACCAGTTCATGTAATCGTGGGCTGAAGGCAGACTACAACAGGTAAGGAGTAAGGAAGTTGAAACAGAAATGGAACCACTAAGAAACTCTTAAGAGATGTTTACATAAGGGACAAGGAGAAGGTGTTAGCAAGAAGAGTGGTTAAAAGAGATTTTTTTTTTTTGATGTTAGTGATGACAACAGTAGTACCTCCTTATAGGACTGTTAAGAAGATTAAAAGAATCAATCATGGGCCGGGCGCGGTGGCTCACGCCTGTAATCCTAGCTCTTGGGAGGCCGAGGCGGGCGGATTGCTCAAGGTCAGGAGTTCAAAACCAGCCTGAGCAAATAGAAAGAAATTAATTGGCCAACTGATATATATATAAAAAAATTAGCCGGGCATGGTGGCGCATGCCTGTAGTCCCAGCTACCTGGGAGGCTGAGGCAGGAGGATTGCTTGAGCCCAGGAGTTTGAGGTTGCTGTGAGCTAGGCTGACGCCACGGCACTCACTCTAGCCTGGACAACAAAGCGAGACTCTGTCTCAAAAAAAAAAAAAAAAGAATCAATCATTATAAAGTGATTATATAAGTGTTTGTTGGCCAGGCATGGTGGCTCATACCTGCAATCCTAGCACTTTCGGAGGCTGAGGCAGGAAAATCGCTTGAAGCCAGGAGTTAGAGACCAGCCCAAGTAAGACTAAGACCCCATTTCTACCAAAAATAGAAAAATTAGCTGGGCAATATAGCTGCCTATAGTCCCAGTTACTCAGGAGACTGGGGTAGGAGGATCACTTGAGCCCAGGAGATTAAGGTTGCAGTGACTATGATTGACACCACTACTCTCCAGCCCAGGTGACACGGTGAGACCCTGTCTCAAAAACAACAACAACAACAACAAAAGTGTATGTTAAAGAAAGGAAGAATAATTGCTTAAAGTCTTGGGCATAGTGGCACACACCATAGTCCCGGCTACTCAAGAGGGAGGCTATATTGGAGAATCGCTCGAGCCCAGGAGTTTGAGTCCAGCCTGGGTAATATAGTAAGATCCCATCTCTTAATAATCATAATAATGATAATAATAATAAAGCCAAGAGCAAAGGCACTTTAGCCTTAAACATCCTACTCATTAAGTCTTAAGCAAGCCTGAGTGTAAATACTGCTAAAGATAGAGACAGTTAAGAAAGAGTTATATCTCGAGAAGGGGAGTATTATAGGCTGGAGAAAGATCTTGAAAAGAGAAAAATTGGGAATATGTGCTGAGAAAAACAGAATAAACTCAAGCAAAATAATAACAGAAACTGACAGGCAGCGGAGTGGTGTCAACTAACAAGCCCACTAAAGATTGATAACCACATAAATTGCTGGTTTCAATCAGAGTAGTCAAGCTGTTTGTTCCAAACAACTCAGCCACCTCACAGAGATGGTAAAGACTGGCCAGTTTAATAATGTTCATAAAGTACTTGGAAAAAATTGTGATGCGCATATGGTTATAAACTGAGAAATACCAATAACATTCAACTCATGCATATTTGATATTTTCACCATCTCTTCATAAAGATTTTTCGTTCTCATTACAATATCCTTTGTCTTAACTCTTATTTTTATCCAAATAATCTTCAAAGTACTTTACAAACTTAACAATTATAACAAGTAAGTTACATCTTTATTTGTATGTGCAGATCACTTCACTCCAAAAAGAATGCAGATATGTGGAGAAAATGAAAAACATGTTACCCAGTTTAAATTCCAGGAAGCATCTTAAGAAAGAAATCCTGTAATTACTCAAATCATAATTTAGCCAAGACACCAACAGAAAGGATGAAAGAACAAAGCTTGCTATGATTATGATATAACTCTGCATCTATTAATTCCCTTGCTTATGCAGAAAGCTGATTTATGAGGTACTAGTGCTTGCCGAGAAAACACAAATATGGCAACACAGAAGAGTAACTTTCAAAGAGATTTATGCTCAAAATGACAAAATCTATAATAAGACTTTAAAAATCATAAAATTATAATTATAAAACATAGTATACTCCAGTAAAATACCTCCTGAGATGGAAAGAGTAATATGGTTATAAAATTATATTTGGGGAGATAGGTGATTCACCTAAAAGAAAAAACATAAAGACAAAAACAAAACCAAAAAAAAATTACTTCATCTCAAGGAATAATGACCTAAGTGCTCTAAAGCCACCTAAGCCATTCTGGCTATTAACTCTATTAACAAAGTGATTTAAAAAAAAAAAGATAAAAGCTATAAAAAACTCAGTATCAATAATATCAAATGCAATCCAATTCTATTTGCAATCACAGCATATCAATCTGGATCCCTCCTATGTAGGTAAATAAAAATCCTACCTGCTTGCTATAATCTCTCACTCCACTTTCCATCACTGCTAACTTCTCTTGTAACTGGTGGACTTCCTGTTGAAGTTCTTGAATCCTGAAACATATTTACAACTAATGCCAATATAATTTTGTTAAGAAATACAAAATAACAAGAAAGGAAACTAGATGGGCTCTTTTACTAATTTCATCCTTTCTGCTTCTCAGTGAGGTATGAGGAACTGTGCCAAAGGGTCCCCAAGTCAACATAAACCACCGCACTTCACAGTGCAGAGTCCATTTTATAAGAATAGATAAAAGCTGAGTGGTAAAGAATTTGAAACTCAGATACATTATGCAATAAAACACCTCACTATTGCATTTTGATCCTCAGGACAAGTCTTGGAGGTACTGCTGCCAATTCTTAAGTTCAGGAAACTGAAGGTCTAGTCCAAATTCACAACATTAAGTGAAATAAGAAACTAATTCTTCTGGCCCTAACTAACCTCGTATTGTCTAAATAACTACTCTGCAACCCTAAAGAGAAGGAAAATATGGAAAAATACTGTAATTTTCCAAGTAACTACAGCAAAAAATCTCTTCCTGCTGGAACTTGTTAATTCTAACAGAATCACGATTTTGTCCAAACTATGTGAATTCTGCAATTACTCAAATATTTTTGTATTACATCAATATGACATAATCCACTTTCATTACTGGAAAGATACAGCCTGAAGCCAGGTCTGCCTTTGAAAGAGATTTTCCATGGAATGGAATAAATGAGGTTGGATACAGCTTGTCCTTGCTGTTACTAGAACCAAAGTTTTCACTAATCTAGGTTTAGGAGAAGAGTATGTAGGCAACTGCACTCATATAAACGCATGAATGACCGAATACAAACAAAATGTGCATGTGTAAACTAAAGTGAACAAGACAATCAAAAGAGACTAATGTCACCTATGCAGCCCAATTAACTTCTTAAATAACAGTAACACATTGTCTGAAAGGTCCTGGACTATAACTTTAACAAAAGAATAAAACAAAGCATTTCATGGTTAAGGTCAGATAACTATGTAAACACAGGTACATGACATAGTGTGAGAATAACTAGGCAAAGAGAACCTAACCAGAACGTCTTTTTTAGATTATACTGAGATAATAAACTGAAAAAATTCCCTTATGTTCTCTGCAAAATAAAAAGTTATCTGCATCAACCATTGCACTAGTATATTCCACAGTTTGAAATGCTTCCCCAGCTATCACCAGAGAGAATGCCACTAGCGCTTGCTCACTCCTTTGATTCCCTTGTCACTGTCTTAATGACATTTGTGTTACTTCTCTTATCTCAACTCTTGGGAGAAGCTTGCAGCTTCTCCCAAGCAGCGGCACCATCTTATTATATCCTCAGAACATTTATACAGTGCCCTGCCCAGGTGGTTTAATGAAGTTTCCATTAAATAGAATTTATATGTGATTCCAATTTTAAGGAAATACAAACACGAAGCTAGAGAAATCAGGAAAAAAAGAATTTCAAATCCAGTTACAAATCTATTCATGTTCACTTAGCATTTGACATAAATCTGAAGTAATAAAGGTTCCTGTAAAGATAAACTCAGCCATGCACGGTGGTGTAGGCCTATAGTCCCAGCTACTCAGAAGTGGAAGCAGGAGGATCACTTAAGGCCAGTGCAGATCAAGGCTGCGGTGAGCTATGACTGTGCCACTGAACTCTAGCCTGGGCAATAGAGCAAGACCCTGTCTTTTTTTTTTTTTTTTTTTTAAAGACAACTTCACTTGAAGATGAAACTAAATGTCAAAGCAACTCCACTGAAATAGGTTACAAACAATTTTAAAACAAGTATGGACAGAAACCTCAGATATATAACTTATTTGAAATCAAAGTTTCAAAACAAGTAAAATATTCTCTATCATTCAGAAAGTATTTATTGAGTGCTTCTGCAAAATTCTCTGCTAGATGCTAGGGACTTAATAAGACAAAAGTAGTTCTATCAAGAAACTTACTGCTAAGCAAGTAATCAATTAAGTCAAGCCAATAATTATTTAATGCACCTGTTATCAGCCACTTGCAGGAGGTCGGCAATGTAAGGGTCATCTGGCTGTGGAACTGGATAGGAGCTTACTTCAGAGGGAGGGACTGGCTCATCAATTTGCATACGCTGGCGCCTAAAAGCAATATTTCTTTTCTTGCCACCTAAAAGAAAATAAGCGAGTGTCTAAAAAAATTAAGAAGCAAGATAAAACACTGTCTTGGAAGAATTAAATAGTCCAGGCTAGCTTTTTTGTTATGAAGTATGTCTCTAGTTCATATTACACATGGATACAATATTTTCTCCTTCATATGCAAATGCCCACCCTGATCTTTAACTGAATAATGCTTTCCTGAAAACCTCAACAAGACATAGTTATAAAACAAGTTTCATATGTCTGCATACTTGGCTCATACAAGCATACCTCGTTTTATTGCACTAGGCTTTATTGTGCTTCACAGATACTGTATTTTTTTTTCCTACAAACTGAAGGTGTGAGGCAACCCTGCACCAAGCAAGTCTATACATGCCATTTTTCCAATAGCACGTGCTCATTTCGTGTCTCTGTGTCATATTTTGGCAATTCTCACAATAGTTCAAACGTTTTCATTATTATTGTATGTGTAATGGTGATCTTTGATGTTACTACTGTAATTATTCTGGGTTGCCATGAACCAGGCCCATCTAAGACAGTGAGCTTAATCGATACATGCTGTGTGTGTTCTGATTGCTCCACTGGCCGTTCCCCTGCTTCTCTCCCTTTGCTTGGGTCTCCCTATTTCCTGAAACACAGCAACACTGAAATTAGGCCAATTAATAACCCTATAATATCTTCTAAGTGTTAAAGTGAAAGGAAGAGTTACACATCCCTCATTTTAAATCAAAAGTTAGAAATGATTAAGCTGGTTAAGAAAGGCATGTCAAAAGCCAAGATAGGCCAAAAGTTATGCCTTTTGCACCAGTTAGCCAAGATACGACTGCAAAGGAAAAGTTCTTTGAAGGAAATTAAAAGTGTTATTAATTTTTGGACACACAAACGATAAGAAAGCAAGACAACCTTATTGCTGATATTCATAAAGTTTTAGAAGTCTGGATAGAAGATCAAACCAGCCACAACATTCCCTTAAACCAAAGCCTAATCCAGAGCAAGGACCTAATTCTCTTTAATTCCATGAAGGCTGAGAGAGGTGAGGAAGCTGCAGAAGAAAAGTCAGAAGCGAGCAGAGGTTGGTACATGAGGTTTAAGGTAAGAACCCATCCCCATAACACAGGAGTGCAAGGTGAAACAGCAAGTGCTTATGGAGAAGCTGTAGTAAGTTACCCAGAAGACCTGGTTAAGGTCAATGATGAAAATGGCTACACTAAACAATAGATTTAATGTAGATCAAATGTAGATTTAGTGTAGATTCAATGTAGATCAAACAGCCTTCTATTGGAAGAAGATGCCATCTAGGACTTTCACAGCTAGAGAAATCAATGCCTGGCTTCAAAGGACAGCCTGACTCTCTTGTTAAGGACTAATGCAGCTGGTGACTTTAAATTGAAGCCAGTGCTCATTTACCATTCTGAAAATCCAAGGGGCCTTAACCATTACGCTAAATCTACTCAGCCTGTGTCTATAAAAGGAACAACAAAGCCTGCATGACACACACCTGTTCACAGCATGGTTTATTGAATATTTTAGGCCCACTATTAAAACCTACTACTCAGAAATAAGATTCCTTTCAAAATATTATCATTCACTGATTAGGTACTTGGTCACCCAAAAGCTCTGATAGAGACCTACATGGAGATGAATGTCATTTTCATGCCTGCTAACACGACATCCTTTCTGCAACCCATGGATTAGGAATAATTTCAACTTTAAAGTCTTATTATTTAGGAAATATATTTCATAAGGCTATAGCCGCCATAGACACTGATTCCTCTGCTGGATTAGGCAAAGTAAACTGAAAACCTTCTGGAAAGGATTCACCATTCTAGATGCCATTAAGAACATTTGTGATTCATGGGAGAAGGCCAAAATATCAACATTAACAGGAGTTTGGAAGAATTTGATTCCAAGCCTCATGGATAATTTCAAGACATCGGAGAAGGAAGTCACTGCAGGTGTGATGGAAAATGGCAGAGAACTAGAATTAGAAGTGAAGCCTGAAGATTTCACTGAATTGATGCAATTTTATGATAAAATTTGAATGCATGAGGAGTTGCTTCTTACGAATTAGCAAAGAAAGTAGTTTCTTGAGATGGACACTATTCCTGGTGAAAATGCTGTGAACACTGTTGAAATGACAACAAAGAATTCAGAATATTACAGAAACCTACTTGATAAAGCAGCAGCAGAGGTGGAGAAGACTGACTCCAATTTCAAAAAAAATTTTACTGTGGGTAAAATGCTATCAAACAGCATCACACACTATAGAAAAATCTTTCATGAAACGGAGTCAATTCATGCAGCAAATTTCATTGTTGTCTTATTTTAAGAAACTGCCACAGCCACCCCAACTGTCAGCAACTACCACCCTGATGAGTCAGCAGCCATCAACATTGAGGCAAGATCCTCCACCAGCAAAAAGATTACAACTTGCTGAAGATGATCATTAGCATTTGCTAGTAATAAAGCCTTTTTGGGGGCAGGGGGGACAAGGTCTCACTCTTGTCACCCAGGCTATAGTGCAGTGGCATCACCATAGCTCAATGCAACCTTAAACTTCTGGGCTCAGTGATCCTCCTACTTCAGCCTCCCAAAGTGCTATAGGCATGGGCCACCACACCTGGCCTAATAAAGTAATTTAAAAATTAAGGTATGTACATTGTTTTTTAAAGACATAATTCTACTTTACAATTAACAGACTATAGTATAGCATAAACATAACTTTTACATGTGCTAGGAAACCAAAAAAATTGTGTGACTCACTCTATAACAGTATTTGTTTTCTCATAGTGGTCTGCAACCGAACCTGCAATATCTCCAAGATATGTCTGTATGCCCAGATTTAATTTGTTCCTCCACTAGATGAGGATGAGAGACTTTGGCAAGATTAAAGCTGAGTGTGCCTTGTGGTATTCATTATTATGAGCTCAAGAAATCATTACTAGTAGAAAACTGTCAAACAAGGAGCTTAAAGCAGTGAGAGATAAAAATACATACGCTTAGGAAAAAGGGGGAATGTTCCTACACTGTTGGTGGGAATGTAAAGTAGTGCAGCCACTATGGAAAACTGTATGGACGTTCCTCAAAAAACTAAAAGGAAAACTACCATATGATCCAGCAATCTCACTGCTGGGTGTATATCCAAAAGGAAGGAAATTAGTATATCGAAGAGATACCTGCGTTCCCATGTTTATTGCAGCACTATTCTCAATAGCCAAGATATGGAATCACCCTAAGTGTCCATCAACAATGAATGGATAAGAAAACATGGTATATATACACAATGAGATATTATTTGGTCATAAAAAACAATGAAATCCTGTCATTTGCAGCGATATGGATGGAACTGGAGGTCATCGTGTTAAGTGAAATAAGCCAAGCAGAGAAAAATAAATGTCACATGCTCTCACTCATATGTGGGAGTTAAAAAAGTAGATCTCATAGAGATAGAGAGTTGACTCAGGAGGGAGGGGAAGTTGGTTAAGGGGTACAAAAACGCAGATAGAATAAGTTCTACTAATCGACAGTACAGTAGGGAAACTACAGTGAACAATAAATTATTGTACATTTCAAAATACCTACGAGAGGGATTATACCCAACACAAGGAAAGGATGTTTGAGGTGATAGATATCCAATTACCCTGATTTGATTTACACATTGTTATTCTTGTATCAAAATATCACATGTTTACCCAAAATATATACAACTGTTATGTATCAACTTTTAAAAAAACAGGTGCTTATTAAGTAATGTCAAAAGAGTAGACGACTGAAATTTTAAGTAGCAAAATTAGAACACAAAGCCATGCTATAACCTGAATGAATAGGGAATGTTTTCTTAATTATTTTTCATTAAGTAGCAGGAGTAAATTGTGTTTATGGAAAGATATGTACTGTCTTGGTCTAAAAATCATTGATATTTACTTTTTTAAGCATGTGGCCAAGTTTAGAAGTATACTTGAAAAACTAATAAATAAATCCTCATGAGGAACAAACACAATCCACAATTTTGTCTTTGTTAGAATTCTAGCAAATTTGTATACTCCTGTCTCCAGTTTTAAGGATGAAGAAACTGAGCCAGAAGTATTTCAATGGCCTGCTTGCATGGATACACCTAAACAAGGCTAAGTACTTCCTTCTTCCTTCACCTCCTGGTTTTCCTCCTTGGTTGCTCCTCCTCAGTTTCTCCCAAAAACCCTCTTCTTCTACCAGCCCCTTCAATACCAATTTCCCTACCGTCTAGCTTTGGTTCTCTTCTCTTACCAGTTTACATAATCTCACTGGATAATTCCCACCACTTCCATAGCTTCAATTACTACCATACTCCAGTGACTCTCAATTTTGAATCTCCATCTGGGTGCACACTTCTGAGAACAGATCTATATATTGCACTGCTTACTAAAAATTTCAACATGAATGTCCTGTGGGGATAACACACTCAACACGTCCAAAAGTAGACTCCTGCTCCACTTTCCACATTCCCTATGTTAAGAATTAGTACCATCATCCACCCACTAATTCTCTTGAAACAGAAATCTGGGAATTCTTCCACTTCCCAAATCTATCACATTCAGTCGCTAAATTCTATTAATTATATCTCTTGAATCTGTCCCATTCTTTCGTCAGGAAACCTGATTATCCTCTTTTTTTTTATCTTAATCTATTTACTGCTGAGATCTTTCCACTTTCTCTACCTTTCCTGCCCTTGGCTCACAGACCCTGTCTCGTTCTCCTTTCCTGTGCCATCTCAGGCCCCACTGATCCCCCCAACCTTGGCCTCACAGTTCTAACCCCTCCACTCTCGAGCCCCCTCCCCACTCAGCTGCAGGCACGCAGTAACAGGACTGTGCTCTGGGCTTTGTCATCACCCAGAACTGTGCCAGCTTCCAGATCTTCAACTCTGAAACTCCCTTTTGACTGCAGACTTCACTCCAACCAAATTACTTTTGGTCCTCACTGTGCTCTTTAATCCCTGTCTCCACCTAGATTCACAATCCAGCAGCCTCCTGTGCCTCACCAACCTCCAGAATCTTGATCCCATGGTTCAGACATTTCAGTTATCTTGTATTGGAGAGTCTTCCACCAACCTATACCTGCTGAACAACCACCAACTCTGGATGTGGCCCATGATTTCCTTTTTCTTGTTCTAAGAACTACTTAGTGCTAAAAATGGCAAAATAAACTAAGAAAGTATATAATTTCCAAATTCTTTGAGTATGGATTAATTTTGTAACTAAAATAATAATAATGATAATAACAACACAAAAAATTAAAAATAGTGAGTAGGGAAATAAAACTCTGGGAATTGAAATTAGGCCTCTTTTATCTAAGAAGCTATTACTATTAATATATAAAGTTTCTGTGCACATATATAAACTATTACCTTGATCTTCAGAAATATATCAAGAAGTTTATGTGACTATCCAATACAGCTATCTATCTATCCATCCATCCATCCATCCATCCATCCATCGATCATCTATCTATCTATCTATCCATCTATCTATCTATCGATCAGATAGTCTCACTCTGTTGCCCAGGCTGGAGTGCAATGGCCTGATCACAGCTCACTGTAACCTTGAACTTCTGTGCTGAAGCGATACTCCTGCCTCAGTCTCCTAAGGAGCTAAGACTATAGACACATGCCACCACACCTGGTTAAATCTTTCCAAACTCCAAAGTCTAAGAATGAAAATCAAGAATCCTGTTTCAGTCAACAGTTTTAATATCTTTAAAAGACTAAATGCATATAATTTGTTTTGAAAAGGAATACACTTACCTGGAGTTTGTACTACAGCTTGCAAATTCTTTTCTTGAAGTTGTTGAATTTTTTCATTCTTAGCTTTGCTTTCTTTCTCCAAAAGTTTGAGTTTATGAACATATTGGTTATTTAGAAATTTTAGATCAGCAGTTTCACGTGCACACTTCTTCACTGTAGTTTTCAACTCTTAAAATGAAAAAGATTCAAAGACTATTTTATTTTATTTAGAGACACAGTCTCACTCTGTTGCCCAGGCTGGAGTGCAGTGGCATGATCGTAGCTCACTGCAACCTTCAACTCCTGGGCTCAAGCGATCCTCCTGCCTCAGCTTCCGGAGTAGCTAGGACTATAGGCACATACCATGATGCCTGGTTAATTTTTCTATTTCTTGTAGAGATGGGGTCTCACTATGTGCCAGGATGATTTCCTGATCTTTAAAATAGTCTTTGAGGCCAGGCATAGTGGCTCACACCTGTAATCTCAGCACTTTAGGAGGCTGAGGGCAGGAGGATTGCTTGAGGCCAGGAGCTCAAGACCAAGCAGGGCAACACAGCCAGGCTATCTCTACAAAAAAAAAAAAATATATATATATATATATATATTAATTTTTTTTAAATCAGGAAATCCATGAAGTTTTTCAATTTAACAAAATATAAAAAGTCATATCAACTTGAAAGGTTCCACCTAATTCTTTATGCACGCTTTTTGTTTGAAGCCGATTACCCTTTCTACTACTATTAACAAAACTACAAATAACTCACTAAGCACAAAAGAGAATTATGTTTTTCCGCTGTTGGATCAACCTAATGTACATCATGGTTTTTGATACAGTAAACTGGGTCTGAAGCTAAAAGATTATGAATTCATGTCAGGTATTAAGACTAGGCTTTCTACTGAACGTAAGAAATTATAATGAGATAACCATATAATTACTCTTTGCCTAGTACCTTTGAAATCATCCTATTTTACCACCCAGCTCAAACACCAACTATTAAATAATCAGAGTGACATATGGCTTTCACCTTACTTTGCTACTTTTATTTTTGGTAAGGGAAAAACAAAAGTTGTTTTAAGAACATTCCTCCAGTAACAGCATTTAATACTCTCTATAGCAATGTTAACTCTAAAAATTTAATCCACATATAGTGACGACTATTATAGCTGTAGAAAGAACATTTATTTTCCTTCCTAGGAACTCTTCAACACACCCCATGGTATTTTGGGAGCTATCAGTAGAAGGGCTACTGTGTTTCTGGTCAATAGTTTTTAAAATTAGACTTTAGCCTTTCCAACATATAAAACAAAAAGGGTAAAGATATTACATGTTAAAAATTACCAAATTTTCACTTACCTTTAATGTGTTGGTCTGAGAGTTCTCTCAGTTTCATTAACTCCAGGTATAAGTCATTATTTTCCCTACTCAATCTTCCATTTTCAACTTTATAGGGTTCCAAAACAAAATCAAAATTGGCACTTTCTTTTTCTGCTTTTACAGCAGATAATTTTGACTGCCGAAGGCTTTCTGTTGTATGAACTAGGTCACTAACATTAAAGAACAGAAAATGTAACTATAAGGAAATATTCCATTAAATTTCTAGCAACTAAAAATCTATTTTTAAAAATGCCTAAAACACAGTCATGAGCCATTTAATGACATTTCAGTTAAGGACAGATCACATAGAGCAGGGGTCTTCAATCTACGGCCCACAGGCCACATGCGGCCCACCGAGGACAATTTGTTCCCGTTTTGTTTTTTTACTTCAAAATAAGTGCAGTGTGCATCGGAATTTGTTCATAGTTTTTTTCTAAACTATAGTCTGGCCCTCCAACAGTCTGAGGGACAGTGAACTGGCCCCCTGTTTAAAAAGTCTGAGGACCCCTGAATAGAGGCTGGTGGCCCCATAAGATCAGAAGGAAGCTGAAAAATTCCCATTGCCTAGGCACGGCTGTTATAAAGTTGGAGCATGACACACTACCTTTTCTGTGTTTAGATACAAAAATACTTACCATTGTGTTACAACTGCCCACAGTATTCCACACAGTAACATGCTATAAAGGTCTAGAAGCAATAAGCTATAAGCTATTTTGCAGTCTGGAAGCAATAAGCTATACCATATTGCCTGGGTGTGTAGAAGGCAATCCCATCTAGGTTACGTGTAAGTACTGTCTATGATGTTCTCACAAAGATGAAATTGCCTAACAACATGTTTCACACAATTCACAGAATGTATTCTCATTGTTAAGTTGACACGTGACTATGTCAATGTTAAATGAGATCAAAGTATTAAAGAACAATGAATTAGAGTTCTTTCAAGATATCAGGAGGTCCTCAAAAATTTCTCAAAACAAGATTATGAAACACAGACATTTTAGAATCATCTTTGGATCTCCTCTCTTCTTCATCCCCCCTGTCCAATTAGTCACCTGATCCTGTGGCATCTGTGAGATTTGTTTATTGAGCAAATATCTGAGTGTCTGCTATATGCCAAGCATCAGGGACACAATAAATAAGATATAGTCCCTTAGCTCTAAGAACACAGACTAGTGAAACATTCATTCAACAAATACTTGTTGAGCAGGGAACACAATAAAATCTTCACCATTATGGAGCTTTTTGACAGTCTGTCATGAAATTATGATACTCTGTGATAAACTCAACAAATAATTCAATGCCTACTCTATGTGCAACCTGTTCTGGGCATGGCAGTGCCAAAGTCAGACTTTCTGAATTCTAAAAGAAGACAAAAACAAGTTTCCAATGATGATGACATGTAGTTAAAGGTAACATGTAAGATGTGAAAAAGTCCTGCAGAACATGTAAACTTAGAAGCTATCCAGGCACAAGGGCAAGAGAAGAGGGAGGAAAGAAAGGGACCCTACAGGCAGAACAGAACGTATATTTAAGAAGCTTCACGTGGTTTAACACATAGGAGATGAAGCTGTAGGGAGAAGCAGCAGCTAGATCGCAAAGGGCTCTGCAGGCCATATCAAAGACCACACAATATCTTTATCCATTCTTTCCATCATCATTGCTTGTAGCTCTACTACAATAGCTTCCTAAACAACTTCCCTGCTCCAGTCTCAAGCTACTCCAATCGTGGAAAAGAAAAGAAAAAAAAAAATCACAAAAAACCTTTCAGTTAAGGTAATATGTAGCTGCTAAAGTAATGATCAACAACATATTAGAGAACCATTATTAATATAACAGTCATGCACTGAATAATGACGTTTTCAGTCGATGAGGGACCATATATACAACAGCGGCTCCATAAGATTATAAGGGAGCTGAAAATTTTCTATTGCCTAATGTCTTCATGACCCTGACCTAGGCCTAGACTAATGTGTGTGTTTATGTCTTAGAGTTAACAAAAAATTTTAAAAAGTAAAAAATTTTAAAAATGGAAAAAAAGCTTATAGAATAAAGAGAAAGAAAATGTGCTGCTGTGTAATGTGTTTGTATTTTAAGCAAAGTGCTATTACAAAAGAGAGTCAAAAGGTTAAAAATAAAAAACTTTATAGAGTAAAAAGGTTATAATAAGCTAATTTATTATTGAAGAAAGAAAATTTTAAAAATAAATTTAGTGTTGCCGGGCGCGGTGGCTCACGCCTGTAATCCTAGCTCTCTGGGAGGCTGAGGCGGGTGGATTGCTCGAGGTCAGGAGTTCGAAATCAGCCTGAGCAAGAGCGAGATCCCGTCTCTACTATAAAGAGAAAGAAATTAATTGGCCAACTAATATATATAGAAAAAATTAGCTGGGCATGGTGGCACATGCCTGTAATCCCAGCTAATCAGGAGGCTGAGGCAGAAGGATTGCTTGAGCCCAGGAGTTTGAGGTTGCTGTGAGCGAGGCTGACGCCACGGCACTCACTCTAGCCTAGGCAACAAAATGAGACTCTGTCTCAAAATTAATTAATTAATTAATTAATTAATTAATTTAGTGTAGCCTAAGTGTACAGTGTTTATAAAGTTATGTCCTAGGTTTTCACATTCACTCACCACTCACTCACTGACTCACCCAGAGCAACTTCCAGTCCCACAAGCACCATTCCCTGCAAGTGCTCTACACAGGTGTACCATTTTTCATCTTTTGTGCTGTATTTTTACTGTATCTTTCCTATGTTTAGATACGCAAATATCTACCATGTGTTACAATTGCCTACAGTGTTCAGTAGAGTAACATGCGGTCTGTAGCCTGGGAGCCACAGGCTATCCTACGTAACCTAGATGTACAGTGGGCTACACCATTTGGGTTTATGTGAATATACTCCATGATGTCCACATGACAAAAATCACCAAATGACACGTTTCTCAGAACGTGTCCCCATCATTAAACAATGCGTGACTGTGAAGCAGACATAAAACTCAATAGAAAAGTGTCTCCCAGCAATATCAAGAACCCCAGAAATTGCAGTCCTATTCAGAGAAAAACTTCAGAAATGTTTACTCTGGACAGTTCAGTGTGAGCAGTGATTTCTAGAGTTTTGCAATGTGGAAGCCCTGGACTGAGGACAGGGGAGTAGGATCCAAGGAAGAATAGTTGAGTTTCAGATGATTTAAGGAGTCTTCAAAAATCTACCCTTTTCTTTACTAAAGCATGAAACTTTAGTAAAGTTTAATCTATAAGTAAAATCTATGAGTAGATTTAAATAGATTAAAACTTAACTTAAAGATTAACTTATAGATTAATTATTATAATAATTACTTATAACTAAAGATTAACTTATAGATTAAAATCTATAAGTAGATTTCAATCAGAAACTATATAAGTAGATTAAGGATTATACAGGTTTAGAACTATATTTTTGTCTTTACCTGAAAAGTTTTTCTACTAAAGGTAAACATTCCACTGTCAGAGTCTGGCGATATCCCAGCTGATCCAATCTTTTTCTAATATGAACATACTTTCTCTCTACAGCTGTAGTCATTTCGTCTTCTTAAATCGGTTTTGTTCACTCCTAAAAATTAAAGTCCTGAAAAACAATGAAATATCATTACATTATTATAGCTATTATTATTGTTATACAGTAAGAAAAAAAGATTCTTTTAATATGAAACAATTAGTTTTTTGTTTCTCTTCAGTAGGCTGCCTTCTGGAATATTCAGATTTAAATCCAATGCTTATGATATTTCCACTGCTGCATTAAAATAAGTATCTCTTTATAAAACTAAATATAAAAGTTAAAACAATAAAGCTTCTAGTGGAAAACAGAAGATTCTCCCAAACCAGAGAAAGGCAAACAATTCTTAAAGAGCCCTCTTTCAAAAGCACTAAATATTTAAAAAAAAAAAAAAATCAACAAATTGGACTTCATTAAAATTTAAAATGTCTGCTCATCAAAATATTAATATTCCACTGAAAATATGAAAAGGGGCTGAGTGCAGCGGGTCCTGCCTGTAATCCTAGCACTTTGGGAGGCCAAGGCAGGAGGATCACTTAAGGCTAGGAGTTCGAGACCAGCCTGAGCAACATTAGTGAGAACTGTATACACATAAAATTTAAAAATCAGCCAGGCATGACAGCAGGCACCTGTAGTCCCAGCTACTTGGGACGCTGAAGCAGGAGGATGACTTGAGTCTAGGCAGTGGGGGTTGCAGTGAGCTATGATGACACCACTCTAGCCTGGGCAACGGAGGGAGACCTTATCTAAAACAAACAAACAAACAAACAAAAAATGAAAAGGCAAACCAGAGTGTGAGAAAATATTCACAATATCTGACAAAGGATTTTTATATGAATTATAAAAGGAACTCTTATAATTCAATAATAAGACAACTCAATAAGAACATTTATTTGGGCTAAAACTAAAATTTAGTTATGCTAAAGACTTGAGGCATCTTGTAAAAGATATCTTAATGGGAATAATCATATGAAAAGATGTTTGTTTAACATTAGTCATCAGGGAAATTACAAATTAAAACCACAATGAGGTACAATTTTGCCCATATTAAAATGGCTAAAATTAAAAGGATCAACAATACCAAATGCCTGCGAAGACATGGAGCAACTGGAACACATTGCTGACAGGAGCATAAAATCTCTTTGGAACAAGTATGGTAGTTTCTTATAAAGTTAAACATACTTCTACCTTATAACCAAGTATTTATGTTCCTAGTCATCAAGGCAAGGCAATGAAAACAAACATTCACAAAAAGACTCTGTAAGAAATGCTCATAGTAGCTTTATTCATAATAGCCTCAAACTGGAAACAACCTAAACACCCATCAATAACAAAAGTGATAAACTATATGACATGTTCACACCATGTAATACTAACGAATAAAAGGGAAGGAACTGATACATACCAACAACATGGATGCATCTCAAAAACATCATTTGAGCAAAAGAAGGCAGATACATGTTCCATTTACATGACGTTCAAGAACAGGCAAAAATTAAGCCATGGGGACAGAAATTAGAACAGCAGTCGCCCTGGAAGATGGAGGAGGGTGGAGACTGACTGGGAAGGTTAAGAGACAACTTTCTAGGGCGAAGAAAATGTCATGTTGATTGTGGCAGTGGTTACACAGGCATATACATTTAAGAAAGTTTTTCAAATAGTAAGCTCAGGATCTATGCATTATATACCATGTAAATTTCACCTTATTAAAAAAAGACACCTTAAATATTTCTGTAAACTTTGTATCCTTGTCTTTTAAAATATTTATGAATGTATTCTTTATCAATCTTTGGAATTATCCAAAGATCATTTCTTTAGAAACTTTGCTTTTTTTCTAACCTTTGCCAACTAAATGTAGTAATAGTACTCATATTTCTAAACAAAATAAAAACTGTGTTCTGTTGTTTATCAGAATTGATAAAACATGCAGTACATGCATATGAATACATGTTAATTTTGTTCCACATCACTACCGTGTGAGGGAGGAAGGGTCAGTGATATTCCTATATAAAGATGAGGCAAGGCTGCCTCCAGAAAATACCTTTTCCCGCTTTGCAGGGACACAAAGCAGGTGGGCAGTCATTGGGAGGTCAGGAGTACTGAGTCCTGGCCCAGCACTCTGGTTTCTGTACCATGCAGCCTCAACTTACCAAATCACTTCTCTTATAATTAGTACCTCTTCTTGCTTACTCCTTTCTACAAATCTTACTCTCTGCTCTTGCTAACCTTTTCTCTGAGCGGCTTCCCCACCGATTTCTAGGTTCCTTCCACAAAAAGGACCTAACTGACACAGGGTGTTTTAGGGAAACTCCTGCAGACATCAGAAACACCCCTGACCAAAACAAGTGTACTACTACTAGCAGGGTGTAAGCTAGCAGAGCCTGCAAAAATCATTTCCCCTTTTTATCTGCTACCAATTCGTAATACCTCTTCACATCCTGTGTTTTTTTTTTGGGGGGGGGGATGATAATGAACATGATGAATCAATAAACCATGGCCAGGGCCTCAATACTCAGGACAGATTAAAATCTTCCCAGGATGGACAAAAACATGGATAAGGTTTCCCCCTCCCCATGGACTGTTGCCCCCCCCCATACCCTGCATCCAAACATTGTGGCTATACACTAAGTTTCTAGCAAAACAACATAAAGGTTAGGTTTGGGGACCCCACACACATACACATTTAGATCTATGCATCATCTACTTAGCTCTGGAGAGTTGACGTCTGAAAGCCAGTACATCTTATTTCTACGAAAACATCCTGTAAGCATGTCTGTACGTGTGCACAAGGGCTTTAAAAAAGCAAACAACCCCCTCAACAACAACAAATAAACCCGTTAACTGAGACTATCTCGGAATCCTCCCTTTTTTAACTCAAAATAGCAGAGCCTGGCAGGCAGAGGGGACGTTTACAAAGGTGGCGGGCGAAGACTGGCTGTCACTGTGCGCTCTGGGGCATTTCTGCTACAGAGAGCACGGATCGTTCTCACACGGGGAGGGCATTTTAATTTTTAAATCAACCCAGCAGTCCACCGCAGGCTGGTCTGCACGGCCCGCACAGACGCGCGGCGACCCGCTGGGCTCAAGCGGTCCGCGGCCGATTTCGGGTTTGCAACGTCGCCGTCGGGTGTCGCGGGAAGCGGGGACGCCGGGGAGCCGCTGCGCCCGCCCGGCCCCGCCCTGCCCCTGCCCGGTTCGGCCCCGCTTCCTCCCGCGGCCGCGCGGCCTCCCGGCAGCGCCCGGGCCCGGTCCGCGGGCTCCGCCGGAAGACGAAGGCGACGGCGACGCCGCCGGCCCCGCCCGCGTCGGGACTCACCGCCAGCTCCGGCCGCCGCTCCCTCCGCCTGCAGCCGCATCGCCCCCGGGACTCGCCCTCCTCGCTGGCTCCTTCCGCCCAGCCACCGGCGCCGGAGCTAGGTAGTGTAGAGCAATTTGAAAATGGCGCGGAGAGACTATCGGGGCCGGCACGGAGGAGGCGCCGCAGTTGCCCCGGTAACGGGAGCGGCGGACAAGGCTCGGCGCTACGCGCAGCGGAGGCGCGCCCGGCGGCGAGGGCGGCGCTGGGCCCCGGTGCCCGGAAACGCAACGGCCCTGACGGCGCGAGGCCACGGCGCCCCCTGGCGGCCGGCGGCCGCGGACAGCGAACCCCGAACCCCGAACCCGGGCGGGCGCCGAACCTGGCGTCCGCTCAGCCCGGGTGTGGATCGCGCATTGTGCGGGGTGAAAACGCCGGCCCAGCCCGGGGCCCTGCGGCGGGCTAGCTTTCACCCGCAAGGCGAGCGCCCGCTCACCGCGCAACCCAGCGCGGCGCAGACATGGCGTGGTCTGTGCAACCCTCCCTGACAACCGCCCTGACGACAGGTAACCGCCGCCTCAGCCGTCGTCCTCCTCCCCCAGGGCCGCGAGTAGAACCGCCGGATGGAATTCATCCGTCAAAACCTAACTGCTTGTTCGTGCGTCTCTCTCGGCCGCCCCCAACTGTGAAGTCCTTGAGTCAAGAGATTATTGGACTCAGCTGTGTCTCTAGCGCCTACCACCGTAAACATTTGTGAGTGGAATTAAAATAAACTGTGTACACAGAGTCTGCCCACAGAAGGAAAACGCCTAAGTCAGATTCTAGAATTCCGTCTCTCCCTCGAAAACTTTTGAGGATCGGAGCGGAGCTCCATTCTTTCGTGCTTGCTTCCTTCCCTCCCAGCGAGGCCTTCCGCTTGGAAAACGTGTTTGCTCTCTGTAAGTCGCGTAGCTGATCTGTGGCTGCGAACGTTGTACGCATTCATACACTGGCCTCACATTTCCATCTGGTGTCCCGCCTCTGCTCTCTCCTGCCTTAATGAGTTGCTTTCTAGAATTTCCAGGAGGCAATGAGCTGAGTTCCGTAGATGACTTCTGCACGGCATCTATCACACGTACAATTAAACACTTTTTTTTCTGTTAACAACAAATAATCTTTTTTGAAAAAGAGGTAGCCGTAAATAGATTAATGTCGTATTGCACGGCCATCCAGTCAAGATGACTCTTTGGCTTCCCTGTGCCCCGAATACATAGCAAGTAGTAAATGTAAAAGTAAAACCCCAGAAAGAAATGCAAAAACGTAAGTCCAAAGCCATGGGGTGAGCTTTGCCCCATTAATGTGGAAGACCAGAGTCAGGCTCACTGCGGAGCTCCAAAGCCTGAGCTCAGTGTCCCTGGCATACAGAGGAGCAGGGAAAGGGAAAACGAAACAAAACACAACCTGTTGCTGCTCACCACCCAGGTCCTCAGGCTTTGAGCAAACTGCAGAGCTAGGGAGGCAGGAAGAAACAGAAACAGACTTACACAGAAACTGAGCCTGCTGTCTGGGTCCTATAGGATTCCAATATCACTATGGGACAGGAGCCCATAAATGCCCTGGTGAGACTTAGTTCTTGACTATGGCAATCATGATAGGGAGGAAGGAAAGCCAGACGTACAGGAAAAAAAAGGAATAACCTTTCACTGAAAATGAGCTTGCAAACCCAAGTGCCAAAACAATGAAGAAATCTTATGCTAACAAAGATAGCCAACAAAACAGTCAAAGCATGAATTCTCTCCAGATGAAACGAATCTTACGAAGCCTTTAAAATGAATATTTTTTAAATGATCTAGATCAAGATTTCTCAACCTCAGCACTTTTTCTTCCTTCCTTCTCTTTCTCCCTTCTTTTTCTTTCTTCTTCTCTCCATTTCTGGCTTTTTGTTTTACTTAAAAGCCCAAATTTTCCATCCTGTTTATCTGTGGCTGGGGTTGGAGCCAGGTGGGGAGGCTATCGAGGTAAAAGAGAAAAAATTCAACAATGTGTAAAAGCATTATTCTGCTCCGGCTATACACTGAAATGTATGTCTCCTGCACTTGGACATCAGAGTGCCTGGTTCTGGGGCCTTTGCACTCAGACTGAATTATACCACCAGCTTTCCTGGTTGTCCAGCTTGCAGGTGGCAGATGGTGGGACTTCTCAGCCTCTGTAATCACATGAGTGTGTATAATATATATTATCTCCCATTGGTTCTGTTTCTCTGGAGAACTCTGATTAATACACTGGGTTTAGCTCTTTCCGTGCTTAGCGCAGCCATGGCCCGCGGTCCCAAGAAGCATCTGAAGCGTGTAGCAGCTCCAAAGCATTGGATGCTGGATAAGCTGACCGGGTGTGTTGCTCCTCGTCCATCCACCGGTCCCACAAGCTGAGAGAGTGTCTCCCACTCATCATTTTCCTAAGAAACAGGCTTAAGTATGCCCTGATAGGGATGAAGTGAAGAAGATCTGCATGCACGCTTCATTAAAATCGATGGCAAGGCTCGAACTGATATAACCTACCCTGCTGGATGTATGGATGTCATAGCATTGACAAGACTGGGAGAATTCCGTCTGATTTATGACACCAAGGGTCGCTTTGCTGTCATCGTATCACACCTGAGAGGCCAAGTACAAGTTGTGCAAAGTGAGAAATCTTTTGTGCCAAAAATCCCTCATCTGGTGACTCATGATGCTCGCACCATCCGCTATCCTGATCCACTCATCAAAGTGAATGACACCATTCAGATTGATTTGGAGACTGGCAAGATTACTGATTTCATCAAGTTTGACACTGGTAACCTGTGCATGGTGACTGGAGGCGCTAACCTGGGGAGAATTGGTGTGGTCACCAACAGAGAAAGACATCCCGGGTCTTTTGATGTGGTTCACGTGAAAGATGCCAACGGCAACAGCTTTGCCACTCGCCTCTCCAACATTTTCGTTATTGGCAAAGGCAACAAACCATGGGTTTCTCTTCCTCGAGGAAAAGGTATCCGGATGCCTCACCATTGCTGAAGAGAGGGATAAGAGACTGGCAGCCAAACAGAGCAGTGGGTGAAATGGTCTCCATGTAACATAATAACATGTTAAAAAGTTATTTGTACTTAATTAAAGATATTACAGTGTGGGAAAAAATAATAATAATACACTGGGTTTTTAATAGGGGATGAAGGTGAATAAAAGAATTTGGAAAGTCCTCTCCCAATAAAATAGCCTATTTTTTGAGGCTATGTTTGGTTGCATAATCTTATTTTGAAGGTCAGAAGCTGAATATTAATTCTATCTTTTTCTTCATATTACATGTAAATTGCTTAGAACAGTGACTAGCACACAGTAAGCAATAAGTATTGTCATTCGATAATAAATCACTGAATCTCCATCTGAGACTGGTTAGTATCTTGGGCCAACTAGGAAAAATATATGCTCTGATAAAGCAAAAGAGAAAAATCAGGTGAGTACTTTCCAAGATATTAACCTCATAAACATTTACATTTTGTCATATTTCAAAATTATCAATTCATAGCTTGTAGAGCAATTCAAAAATGTGCAAGTGTTAAGATTACAAAGTAAAAGTCCCCATTTATTTATTATGATTATTTTTTAGAGACAGGGTCTCGATATGTTGACCAGGCTGGACTCCTGGGCTCAAGGGATCCTCTTGCCTCAGTCTCCCAAGCTGGGATTACAGATATGTGCCACCACACCTAGTGAAATCCCTACTTAACTTGGAACATTTTTCTTGTCCTGGCCCCTATTTTGTTCTTTTCCCTAAAGATGAAGACTTTGAGCCTTTTGGCTGTATGTTTTTACTCGTCCATCTTCCCCATGACACAGTGAGCTTTTGGAAGTTAGTAACCTTGTGTCTATAGTCACATAGGCTATCGACAAATGTTTGACGAATGAAGAGATTATTGAATAATGAATAAATGAATACAATTATCAATATATAGTAAACCATAGTAATATAAAGCAAACTAAATATCTTTTAAAAATGTACTGTTACACAACCTTGTTAAGATGCTTATTTTTGAGCTTTTTCAAAAAGATTGCCTCTGATTAAAATAGAAAAGAGATTAAATTATGAGGGCTTTACTTACAGTTTCCTTTTAACTGCTTCCTATATAAGTGCTTCATACATAAGGGACCTTACACTGCGTAACAGAGTGAGGTGATTCTCAGAGTGGATGATGACAAGGCATTTCATCAAGGCTTTCGTGTTTTTAATCTATCTGATACCATAGCAGTAATGTCCAAAGCATTCATGGCTTATTTTATTTTTGATGGATTATATAAAGTATAGCCAATACAGCCTCTGCTATCTAATGTGCAAGAGTAAAATGGAATGCACTGGTGATTGATCAATTGGATTTGTCCATGTCTTAAAAGGTAGTATATGATTCTTTTTTTAAATTAAAGAAGACAAAACTTTGACAGGCTGATTAAAATGGGGACAAGATATGCTAGTCTGGTGAATAGATTATTGGCATATAAATAAGAAAGAGGATCCAGTTTACATCTAGTTTCCAGGATTGGCGAATGGGGCTCTTTCCCAGGCCATTTTGGAAGATTCTAAATTAATTCCTTGGAAGGTCTGTTGAGGATAAAAGCCCTTCTTCTCTGCTTTGTCCCAAGTGGCCAGGTGGCAAACATCTGTGCCTGGTGACAGCCAAGGAAGCACACCTGAAGCCAGACAGGCCTGGCTTTGAATTGTGGCTCCATCATTTCTTAACAGTGTGACCTTGGAGAGCAGCTGAAGTGGGCAGCTGTCATCCCTTGTGAGAATTCAACTAGATAATACATTCCTTTCCTAGATACATACTCATGAGAAATAATAATGTT